CCCCCCCCCCCCGCGGGCTCCGTCCCGTGTAACTCCCGGGTGTGTGAACCCCCCCCCCCTCCCCCTCTCCCCTCCTACGGGGGGACAGGGAGTGACAAGTGGTTCCTCACTGAACATCTCCCCCCAACGCAAAAAAACAACACAACCGCTTCTGGTGAGCAGCGAGCGGCAGGCCGGTCACAGCTTTATCGCCCAATAATGAGAGTCATATTTTACACGGCGTGTCGAGGGCAGAGCGCTAATTAGCTTTACACGCTGTCTGCTGTGCTTCTATGTCTTAACCCGCGCTTACGTCTGCTGCTCTTGAGAGTGTGTGTGTGTGTGCGTGTGTGTGTGTGCTATGTCTGCTTTAATGGGGCCTTCTTGTGTTACTGCTCAGTGTGCCGTTGTGCATCTTTCACCACCGATGCGTCGGTGGGTGTGTGGTGTGTTTCATTACGACCCGCTTGTGTGTGTTCATGCTGGCGTCATTTTGTGTCCCCTTGTCTTCCTCCAGAGTAAGTCCGTGTCGTCGACGGACAGCCAGCCCACTGAGGAGCGCCAGGGCCCATCGGGAGGCTACTCCTCCTCGCAGGGAGGGGCGGAGGCAAAGAGGAGGCGCTGCGACGACAAAGAGCCTCTGCCGCCGCACTCCTACGTACGCGTCCGCTTGTGTCCTCGTCCTTCTAACATCTAGATGAAGTTATTGTTAATACAGGATGTGCATGTATGCAGAATTATTTCCACAGCCACATATTTGTGTGTGTGTGTGTCTGTGTGCGTTTGACACGCCGCCCCTGGCCTCCGATAGCCCACAGGAGGGAGTCCGGGGGCCAATTAGAGGCGTGTTTGTTGGGGAGGAAAAGAGAGCCACAGGCGATGTAATGCCAGCAGAGAGAGAGAGAGAGAGTGTTTGCCGTCTGCAGGATTGATTGACATTCAGAGGCCGTCTGTGCTAAATGTCCCGCTAGCTGAGTCGGTTTGGTATCAGCAACAACGACAACAGTCCAAATGTTTGTCTTTAGTTCACCGGGAACTAAAGCCAAACATTTGGGAACGAGGACAGAGTGTTTTCACTTCCTGAATGTTTTCCGTCTCTTTCTGTCCGTCGAGGGACATTACAGGGCCGTTCCTCTCTGTTTGCCTCCTCTACATCTGTCTGTCCTTTTCCATCTCACTCCTTGTCTCCTTCCTGTTTTCTTTTCGACGATATTCCGTCCTTATTTGCTTTCTCTCCGTCTGTGTGTTTTGCGCGTAGGAAACCGTGTATTGTCTGTGCATAATTAGGTAGCGATGTCACTCCGCACGGATGTCGATAGGAACGTCAGGCCATGATCACATCAAGGCGCTGTTGCCATGGTGACTAAGTGCCATCGTTCTCACCCCAGAAAGAAGAGGCGAGAGAGACAGTAGAGAGATGGTTAGACGAAAAGCGCGAAATGTAGCCTCGATGGAGAAAGAGCGGCTGTGTGTGTGTGAGATATTGATATATCGATCTGTGTGTAACTCTGTGTTTGGTTTATTGCCAACTTTATTATTAAACTTCTTAATGCGCACATAGAGTGGAATATACGTCTGTGTAAAAGGCATATTATCCTCAAGGACATCGACAGATATTAACAGCTTTCTTGCGTCTTTCTCGCTCCTCAGGACAGTGATGGGGACAAAAGTGAAGACAATCTCGTAGTCGACGTCTCCAATGAAGTAAGTTGCTCATTTGTGTTCAAGTCATTTTTTTTTGACCCCCTCCTACTTGTTTGCGCTGCCGTCACCGGTAGTTTTGCATCAACCACGTGCGTCTCGCTCTACAGAGCATCAACTCGCGGCTCCCGGCTTTCTTTCTTACAGCCTCCGCCGCCGTGGTTCATCTACCCCCGTTTCCAGCTGTATTTAGTGAGACAATCCACTCCTCCTCTTCAACACCTGGCACATGGAGAGTTTTTAAACTTAGTGGAACATTTAACAGCTAAAGAGTGTGTTTCCGGGGGGCCGAGATTTGACTTCCAACGATTGTTAACGTTGCTTAGCGCCATTCTGCCGTCAACTTCGAAGTCAGCCGTTGTTTGTACTGAAGCGATTCGACACCACTGCGCTGCCTGAATCCAGCGTCGGGATGTGCTCGGCACTACTTTGTTCCAACGTCCGTCCCCTGCGTAAACCCCGTCTGTCTGCCTGCCGATAATTCAATTTAACACGCACGGAGGTCACGCATCGCACAGAAAGACATTTTGTAGTTTCCTCAGGAAGTTCCATCTCTCACAGCCTCGTCCGTGTGCAAACGCTGTACATCCTCGTTGCATCCCCCATCTCTGATTTCTCTACAAAGCGGCAAGTTACAAGCATCCTTTATCCTGCAGAAGCCTTCCGACACAGTGTGGAAGTCCGTGCATGAATAAAAGATGAATCCAACGCCGGGAGAGCTTGTGTTACATTTTCGAGTCCTTGGTGACTTTTTCGTGGAGATTTACCATTTTTTTTCCACTTCCACTTCCACAGCCATGATGCCTCTTTATTTACTATCTAGTTTAGTTTACAGGCAATGCTTCGCACTCTGGCATTGTGTCCCTCTTATTGGTTAATCTTCACGATTCAAAAGATGAATCCAGGTTTCGATTTTATCCAGAACATCCGCACACACACACGTATTTTGTTTGTGTGTTTTGCTTAAATGATTTTCAAGCTGTGCGTGTGTGTGTGTGTGTGTGTGTCAGCTGGTACGCAGCTAGTTTAGCTTCCCGCGGAAGTTTCCTTGTAAAGAGGAAGCGCTCGGATGTAAGCTCATTATCAGCCACCGCTGTTTGTGTTCTCTTCTTGTGAACCGTGTCTGCACACGCAAACAAACACACACACACACAAACACACACACGCTTAACAAACGTTTAGCTATCTCTTCTGTTTCTGTTCTCTTTCTTTCTCTATTTTCTCTTTTCTTTCCCTCCTCCCTCCTCTCATTAGATAACTGCAGCCTGCTTCTTTTAATATATGCAAAGCCGTTTATGCCCCTGGAATATTTTAAGTTCTTTAAATACTTCACGCAGTGTACCAAAAATATGTTTCATCTAAGCCTCGCTCAGATGTAGTTGGATATTGCACACAAAAGCAGAGCCCGTCTCTTGTGTGGTTTGGTACAAAGGCAGGACAAAAAAAAAAAGAAAAAGTGACAAATTTGTGTAATGGCAGAAAAAGACAGACAGAAATGATTGTGTGTGTCTCTTTTACACAGAATCTCTCATTCATGTATTTGAACACACTTTCGAGCCTGTGCATAAATGTTCCCACTGCTGTTTGCATACGCTTTGTAAACCACCGTGTGTGTGGTTGTGAGTGAACGAGCTCGTGCATTCGCGTGCTTTGCCTGTGTGTAGCGCCCCCTAAAATGTGTGCTGATCACTGAATCGGTGAGAACGGCTAACGGCTAACTCCAGCACGCTGCTGTTGGGGGGAGGGGAGGGCGGGGAGGGGTGTTGCGACCCCCCAAAAAATCCCGCGCACTGGTTTATGTGAGGACCATTAGAGCGGAAGGTTATCGCGGCGGCTGATGTAAGCAGGGCGGACGTCCCTCTGATCAGTTTAAAGAAAACTCCAAAAATCCATTTTTTCCATTTTGTCATTCAGGAGCCTAACTCTCCCGCGGGCAGCCCCCCTCACTCCCCCCACGGGAACGGGTTGGACCGCGCCCCCGCCCTGAGGAAAGAGCTCCCCGGCTCCTCCAGCACCGGAGAAGCCCCCTCCACCCCGAATCCTCGCAGCCCCACCCCAGGGAAGGGCAAGGACCCCGCGCAGGTAAACCCCCCCTCCCCCACCCCCCCCCCGTAAGAGGAGACGTCTGCCTGCTTGATTGAAAAACAATAAAAACACCTGAAAGCTGTACGAGGCGTAAGAGTTTAACGATAACAGACCCTACGTGGACCGATCAGCCACGGTTATATTTCTCGTTTCTCGTCCACACAGATGGATAAGTCCCAGTCTCCGTTGTCCAAGTCTGGAACCCCGTCCCCGTCCCACCGGGAGGCCCTTACTCCCGGAGCCCCCGGTCCCAGCACCTCCTGCCTCCGTCTGGTCAGCAAAGCAGCCTCCAGCGCAGACCCCCTCGGTGAGACTCCTTTGGCTCATTATTTGGCTTATAAATAGGGAAGCTGGGTCAAGGGTCAGGGCACGCTGCTCATCCATTTTTGTAAACTTTGATCTGCTAAATACTGTAAAAAAGGCTTTGGTTCTACTATTTTTTCAAGGAATGAATCCAAGTAGCTGAACCGAATGAGTTGCCGTCCTCTGTCCTTACAGTCCATGAGTCCATTTCTTCCTTAGGTTTTCATTTCCCTTTGTTTGTTTGTGTTATGACGCAACTGTTTGTAAAAAAAAAAACCTTGTCATGCAACAGTCGTTTGTTTTTAGGCCAAATTCGCATTTCATTATCCCAGCAAATTAAGGATTAAATAAGAAATCAAATGGACTATTGCGCTCTTTTCATTTGCTTCTCTGCGGCCAGCAGTGGAGACCATTGTTGTGCTTGACGTCTCTTCAAATATAGTTTAATGAAAGAAAAAGATTTCCATCGTTCCCCCCCCCCCCTCCCACCTTCCTCTCCCCTTCCCATCGCCCTCCCACCCCCCAGTGACCGTGTTTGTACACTATGTATCGTTTCCCCTCCTCTTTATTTCCCTTCAATCCGTCCTTCCTCTTTCCCCCCCTCCCCAGCTCTCCGCAGTCCCATGTCTGTGCCCCCCGGTTCATACCCGGCTCATTTTGGCGTGGTGTCCCACGCAGGGCTGAACGGGGAGCTGGCCAGCCCAGGAGGCTTCGCCGGGACTCTAACTCTCTCTCCGCAAATCAGCGCAGCAGCCAATGCCTACTCCCGAAGCCCCATGGTGAGTCACGGCCAAATTCCCCCCCCCCCCGTCACGGCTTGATTTATAGTTCCGCCTCAACTTTTCACCCTCTGACTATTTTAAAAGGGACACGGCCGTGCCCCGTGTGCCACATCACGCTCGAACTTCAATTCACGATCACGGAGAAGCGAGAGGGGGGGTTTTTTCGCCCTTGAAATGGTTTATCTGACTATTGTGGCGCCGCTGACAGAGACGTCCTCCACGTCCGGCCCCAGAAACATGAGCACAAACACCCCTCTTTTGTCTCCACCAGGTGGCCTATGACTCCCGGTCTCACCTGAGGGCGCCCGGGCTGTCCTCGTCTCTGCCTGGTTCCTCTGCCGGCAAGCCGTGAGTGTTCACACAGCGGATATTCAATTAGTGGCCTGTGACTTGGGTGTTGCCATCTTTTAATAACTGTGTGTGCAGCTTTAAGCGTCAGTACTTCAGTTAGTATCCACGGGGCAGTTAGACATTCATCTTTTCCGCTGTTGATTATAGAAAATAAATATGTGAAGGCTGTGCAGGATAATCACGACAGGCTAAATGAAAACTTCTGCAGTGACAATCCAAAAATACTTGGATGGGATTAGTAGTAGTTGCCCCTCGCTAGTCGCTGTGTGCTTTTTAAGTCGCTGACTGACGAATAATGTTGTCTTTGTCTTTTGTTTAAGCGTAGCAATTTATTCTTATGGTGTCCGTCTCACGGTCATAAAACAGCGCAGGCTTCCAGCCGGTACAGTATTGATCAGCCATTAGCAACGGCACACTGGCTCCTAATGCGATCGTCCATTATGCGACCCCGCCTACAGCCACCGCGCGCCAAGTAATTACCAGAATTCGGAGACGTATTGATGAACTTCCGAGGCCATTAACGTGTCGTCAGACCTCACATCTCGCACGCTGACTTGTGTGTGGTTGTTTGTGCTTCGTGCCTTTTGTGCACCTGTTGCTGCTCTGCTTTGACGTGACGGTTCCAGTTCTCCAGTGTCTCACTTTCCTTTGCAGAACGCCAAACTGCGTTTGTCTGTGTTGATCATTCCCCCCCTCGCTCGCCTTCTTCCTTCCCTGCAGCGCCTACTCGTTCCACGTGAGCGCCGACGGCCAGATGCAGCCGGTGCCCTTTCCCCCCGACGCCCTGCTGGGCCCGGGCATCCCTCGCCACGCCCGCCAGATCCACACCCTGAGCCACGGCGAGGTGGTCTGTGCCGTCACCATCAGCACCTCCACGCGCCACGTCTACACCGGGGGCAAGGGCTGCGTCAAGGTGTGGGACATCAGCCAGCCCGGAAGCAAGAGCCCCATGGCCCAGCTGGACTGCCTGGTGAGACGTGAGGGAGGGAAGTGGGTACACCGACAAAACATGAATTCAGGCCAAGTGTGTGTGTGTGTGTGTGTGTGTGTGTGTGTGTGTGTGTGTGTGTGTGTGTGTGAGCTGATTTGTTTTTAATGGTTTCTGTCGTCCTTCCTCATAATCGTTTTAATGTCCCCAATCACTTGAGAAGAGGCTTTGATCCAGAACCTGGAGAACCACGGGACTTAAAATGAATACGCCACAACTGATCATCAGGATATGAAAGCATGCGTTGGTTAAGCAACACAGCATCCACCAATAACACGAATTGAGGTCTATATAATTTGTCCACCATGGGTGGAGCTCTGCAACAGGCTGCTGGTATCTTTCTATCTGTCCCTCATGGCTTCATGGACATTTTATTGTTTTGACCCCAAAAAGATATAACTGTTTTTTTTGTTTTTTTTTTAAATGCAATCAAATCAGAACAGGGACAACTACATTCGATCCTGTAAGATCCTCCCCGACGGACGGACCTTGATCGTCGGCGGGGAGGCCAGCACGCTGTCCATCTGGGATTTGGCCACGCCCACTCCCCGCATCAAGGCGGAGCTGACGTCGTCCGCTCCCGCCTGCTACGCTCTGGCCATCTCCCCCGACAACAAGGTCTGCTTCTCCTGCTGCAGCGACGGCAACATCGTGGTCTGGGACCTTCACAACCAGACGCTGGTCAGGTGAGCGGGGGGGTGGAGATGGCGATCTTTGGACTTGTTCCACTGAGTTAGTGTTTCAGGTAAGAGGGGTGGGGCTTTACCTCCACAATAGAGCACAATAACTGAGCACATGAGATAGAGAACTTCTTCAGGAGAGCAGAGGTAAAAAAGAAAAAAGGACATCAAATATAGAAGAAGAAAGGGGGGGCGGGGGTCTTTGTAGTCCAGGGCTTCCTCGACTAACCCTGCGGTCGGGGGATATGGGTAGGACGGTAGGAGAAGGGAGGCAGATGGACAGGTGAAAAGAAAGGGGGGAGACGGGAGGGAAAGGAGAATCGGGTGAGGGCAGTAGAACCTACAGGGAGGAACAATTTCAAATAAATTTCATCTGACACCTCAAGGAGCCGAGAAGCAGAGACACACGCAGTCTTTAGAGTGTGTGTGTGTGTGTGTGTGTGTGTGTGTGTGTAAATGCATATCCTTGTGTGCATCTGTGAAGCTCTTGTGTGTCCCCCCCGCCCCCTCTCTCCTCCCCCCCCCCGCAGGCAGTTCCAGGGCCACACGGACGGAGCGAGCTGCATCGACATCTCCAACGACGGCACCAAGCTGTGGACGGGGGGGCTGGACAACACAGTGCGCTGCTGGGACCTCCGGGAGGGACGGCAGCTCCAGCAGCACGACTTCACCTCGCAGGTGCACACAAACACACACATTTTATCTTAAAGCTGCAGCAATAACGGGTTTCATCACAGTAAATTGCATACACATATTGATGTATAACACAAACACACCCCCGTGACCCTGGCAGGTATTTCCACCAATGCACACTGGCAAAAACACAACCCAGCGCACCACACACACACACACACACACACACACACACACACACACACACACACACACACACAGTCACTCCTCGCTGCAACAACAGAGCTTTAGAGTTGACCAGCGCTGTCAGATGAGTTTCGATCCCCCGTGTAATGACTTTCTTTCTGGCTGGGCGTCTCTCTCCTTCTGCCACTTTCCCTCCCTCCCTCCCTCCCTCCCCCCCCCCCCCTTCTCGCACAATGTGTTAATTCATATTTACTTCCCTTTCCCTCGGTGTCCCCCATTCCTGCTTAAATCCGGCCCTATTTCTTTCTTTTTTTTTTAACCCTTGCCTCCTTTCTCCCGTCCTCCCCGTCCCCCTTATCGCCATTTAACGTTCTGCCTCCCCTTCGATTCCTCTCCTGCAGATCTTCTCTCTGGGCTACTGTCCGACAGGCGAGTGGCTGGCGGTGGGAATGGAGAGCAGCAACGTGGAAGTCCTGCACGTCTCCAAGCCCGACAAGTACCAGCTGCACCTCCACGAGAGCTGCGTTCTGTCCCTCAAGTTCGCCTACTGCGGTACACACACACACACACACACACACACAGTTACTTTTTTAGTGTTTCTATGAGATTTACAGTGACAAACACGTCTACTCTCCACATCGATGGAATGAGGTTTGTTTTCACATGTAGTTCTTTGTTGCCTGTTATTTCAGGCAAGTGGTTTGTGAGCACGGGAAAAGACAATCTGTTGAATGCGTGGAGGACACCGTATGGAGCCAGTATTTTCCAGGTGAGAGACGTGTGCGATATGCTCAGTGTGTGTCCACATTTGTCACACATAAATATAAATGACTGTATTTGGGGCGTCATCTTTAAGTCAATGTGGAGGTAAGAGAGAGAAGAAGATGGGGAGGTACAAAGGGAGGACTTGCTCGTATACTGATATTATTACACCAGTTATTAGACGGCACAGAGGACGCGTAACACCTCGTGTGCACGGCCGCGCAGAGAAGCACTGCTTTCAGCTGAGCAGCTTGATTACGGGTGTTCGGGTGGGACTGGCGAGCGGAGACGGAGGTACAGCCCGGTGGATCTGGGCGCGTGCGTGGCCATCACGCCACTGCGAGCGGCGGCAGGGTCTCTCCCGGTGGACTGAAGCCCGTCGGCCTGCTTTGTTATCCAAATGCCAAACAGCTCCCTCCTGTCACTGTGTTATACAGTGCTGCCCTACGTGTCCCCCTCCCTCCTTTCTAGTTCATCAATGTCCTCTGCAGTGTCTGTCTCCTTGCTTCCCCTTGAACCCCCCTCGTGTTTCCTCTGCGTGTGTTATTGTCCTTTCTGCCCAGAAGTGGAAATCCCTTCGTGGTCCCTGGTGTTTATTCAAACATCAACTAGATTGTCCGTCAATCTCTAACATGAACAACTATTCTTTATTCTTCGTTCCCACCCCCATCTCTGACTCACACCACTCCCCGACTTATCTTTTGGCTTGTCATTGCACCCCCACCCTCCCTCCTCCTCCTCCCTCACCTGCTGTCTTGGTATGAGGGATCCTGTCTGGAATGGCTGGATGATTGACAGCCCTGCTGCGCCTGTAGCAGGGAAGGGGGCTTGTAGGAGTCGACATGAGGGAGGGCGGACAGCGAGGGGGGAGCCACGGAGGAGAGTCTTGGAAGGAAGATAAATGATGATGTGGGAGGGCGAGGGGAAGGGGGGGGGGGGCGGAGGGGGTCCAGAGGGAGCTCGAGATCATCTGAAGCCAGGTGCCCAGGTCTCCCGTTGAAACGCGGGAGGAGAAAGGGGACGAAGCAAGACGATGGTGCATTTTACCGGTTCACACAGACTGCGTACAGCTGCTTAGGCGTGCAGCTAATGAGGCTGCACGTCTCCAGAGGAGGACACCACCGAGTCTCACGTGGAAGCAGACAAACGAGCGTCCTGGAGCTGTGGGGTCGTCTGTTTGGAAATGATTGCCGACTGTTTTGAAATGCAAACATGACTTTATATGATCACGTGTCAGCGGATGACTCGTATCTCTCTAACTCCTCCTCGTTTTTCCTCTCTCCGTCCATCCCACGTCCCCTCTCCCCCCTCCTCTCTCGCCGGGCTCCCAGTCCAAGGAGTCCTCGTCTGTGCTGAGCTGTGACGTCTCCCCGGACGACAAGTACATAGTGACGGGCTCCGGGGACAAGAAGGCCACGGTGTACGAGGTGGTGTACTGAGGGCCGGGACAAGATGGGAAGAGACAGGGCGGAGATTTGTATTTGGGGGGAGGCAGGGGGGGGGGGTTGCCACGCCGACCGCCGCTGATCCTCAAAACATCCGCAACAGCAGCAGCTCCGTCTGAGTCATCCTGACCCTCACCCCTAATACATCACCACCTCTCCCCCTTTCTCTTGATATAAGCTATTGTGGGAGCTCCCAAATGCCTCCTCCTCCCGCCTCCCTCCCACTTTTAGCCCAAGGATGAGGCATGATAGCAGAGAGAGAGAGGGAGGGAGGGAGGGAGGGAGGCAGCAAGATAAGAAGGACAAAGGAAAAGAGCGTTCGGAGGGAAAGACGAGAAGGAGAGAAAGTGAGGGTGCGGAAGGAAGGGAAATGAAAAGGAGGGAGGGAGGGAGGGTAATTAGGGCTGTTTCCTGATTAAGAGCTCAGTGGAAGGGAGGCCCCCAGAGGAGGTGCGGAGCGGCGCTGTGGGAGCGCCAGCCAGGAGCATTGATACCACACAATCGATTCATTAGCCAGACAGTGGAGGCCTTAATGAGGCTGACGCTGCAGCGCGCTCTCTCTCCCCAGCGAGAGGTGTCAGGAGCCGGGGAGCGCCGACGCTCCGAGGTGGAGGGTGGAGGAGGGGGTGGGGGGGTCGCTTCAGATATCCACATACTCTGACGCGTAACACAAAGCTGTTCACGCGCAGAAGCGCGCGCGCACAGAGCGGCCAATTAAACATTCACGGCAGCGTCTCCCCGTCTCTCTGCCTCATATCTATTTTATTTTGGTCTGACAAAGGCGGCGTCTAATGAGCGGAGCAGAGTCAATGGGATTCTCCCGGGGGGGGTGAAGTGGGGGGGGGGACACAAACACGGAGCATCAGCCGAGCTGTTCCCTTCTAATTCCTCTGGATTGTTCTCCTTGACACCGGACGCTGCACTCGCTCTCATTAAAAGGCCCCGTCCAGCTCGACCAAGTAGCAGCGCGCCAGCGTCACTGCTGGCCAGATTAACACCACCCATCACGCCGTCAGCCGCCAACTGAGCAGCAACAACATCCAAATCCTCCATCCAATTTGATGCAACCGGTTGCCGTTTTCTTTTAGCAACCAGATGTTAATCAACCTCACTGTCTCTCTCTCTCTCTCTCTCTCTGCCTGCTGATGTGTCCACGGTGCTCCGGCGTTTTCTTCCGTTAAGCTGTCGGTTGCATTCAATTGAGATGCTTAACACGTAAGAGGAAGAGTTTAAAATTTGGGGAAATTACGCTTATGGATTCCAATGGGAGTCGTAGGCTAAGTAACAGTGGCATGCTAACTTAGCTTAGCGCAACGACTGAAAATCTACCCATCAGCACCCGAGCGGCTCAATAATCAACGAGCTTCGTTGTCGTTACTGCCCCCCCCCACACACACAAGAAATAGTCCCACCAAAAGCCGCCCTGATTATCATCAAAATGTATCATACAAATCAGTTATGGAATTGATAAAACATGATATAATCTTGTAAGAGTTGCCGGCAGGTGTATTTTGCGTCCCTTTGGACACAGCAATGCTACCAGTTTCCCCTCGTTTCCAGTCTTTATGCTAAGCTAAGCGGCTGCCGGCTGTAGCCTTATATCAATCTTCTTGTAGCCTCAGCAAGAAAGGGAATAAACATAATTCCCCAAATGTTGAAAGTATACCTTTTAAACTTGATTCTTGCTCTCCAGTCCTCCTTGTATCATATCACACACTGTAAATCAGAGCTCTCGGCGTCTGCGTCGCCAATGTGTAGACTAAACACGCACATTTCCAGCTTTTCTTTCATCATTCATTTCAGTATTTTTTATGAATAGTGATTGCTCGTCTTATGTAACGATATCTCCGTGTATTGGGGGTCGACCTACGATTGCGTTTGGGGTTCAAAGTGAGAAGGACGGACACACATGTTGACCTATAAAAATGGAACACAGGATTTTTTTTGTTCTTTTTTTTTGTATTTATCCTTGGTGGCGGTTACAGACAAATGGAATATATCAGCAGTCTTGTTATTTTCCCTTTATTTCTTTTTTTTAAATCCAAAGTGGTGGTAGATGTAGTTGTAGTCCGTTTTCAGTCCTTAATGTGCAACTAAACTGTGTCTCTGTTAAGCCTGTGGTCAGTGCGACGCCACAATACAGACGCAAACCATCGGAGAGCTCCCACTTTGTGCCGCATGCTCGTCGCACTAAAGCTCCACTTCTGCTGAACGAACGAGAGACAAATCTTCGGTACGGAGAACGGTCTCGGCCGCAGTTTTACAGAGGGATACATTTTACATCACAGGATGCAATTTGATTCAATTATTCAAATCTTAAGCAGGATTATTCAATGTTTCTGAAGCAGGATAGAAGAACTTTGAGTGTGAGATGATCGGTACGGTTGATGCCTTTGCCTCTTTATCTCCCCTCAGCGACAGGCAGACCCAAATTATATAATCACACACAAGCTTGTATACCTCTCTGGACGATGCAGTTGTATAGCGTGAATATCTGGGACGGTGTATTTGATACTCTTATTTAACTGAGTATTGTCTTTCCCCTGCCTGTGCTTTCTCTGGTCCAACAGTATAAAAACCTATATTTTTCTGTTATACAAGACCATTTTTAATTTCTCTTTTTAAAAGCCAAGGAACATTTTTTTTTCACTGCACTGTGTAATTTCCCCCCCTGATGCGTTTCCCACGTGCTGTACAAGAAATACTATGTGTGAAAAATAAACCAAACTTGTGTTCATCCCTTCAGGTGTCTGGTGTATTTACATCGATGTGTAGAATTTTACAAAAGATGCTGGGCTCCAAATCTAAAATACAATCACTAAGGAAGGTTCTCAGGTTTCCTCCTCTCAGTTGGAGCTTTTCGTTTTGTCGGGAGAGTCGCCGCTACGCCAGCGATCACTTTGGAACTCCCCCCCCGGGTGTTCTTACTGGAGCAAGTCGTTTCACCGCGCTGTGAGTCAGCGTGGCGGCAGAAACACGGCTGCATTATTTACCGAGCGCGTCGGGTTTTAATCCCCAGGACGCCGCCTCACACGTCCGTGGACGCAGACGCTAACTGGAGGAGACGCTTTGCGCTGTAATGTTTGTGCTCACCGTTCACACGTTTCACTTTTTATCCAAATGTTTCCCCGAACAAAAGCTTCTTCTGACCTCTGCAGCTCAAACACACGTCAGATGTTCCACTCAATTGCTACCATACCTACACTAGTCCTTAAGGAGCTCTTTCAATAAATGATCAAATACAGATTTCAGGAAAAAACTGCACGCATGTGAGTTTTCCCACACTGCTGTTAGTTTTCTTAAGCAGATCCAAGTCACAGATAATATCCTCGTTTGCCTTTAGAGAACTTTATTTACATGTCCATGTATAGCAAGGTTCAAGGTTCATGAAGCAGTTGTGAAAATACCTGTCTGCCTATATGTGCCCTAATGAATTAAAAAAAGAAAACATTTCATATTGAGTGACAAGGATGATGGTGACATAGCGGAGGCAACATCCACAAAACTTGAAGAGTGCCAGTAGTGAGCGGTTTGAGCTGGCTGCGGTCCCGTGTCCTCGGGGGTCATGGTTTTCTGTTCCAGGGGGGTTTTCCCTCAAAAAACACCGGCACAATAAGTCTGGATTTGTTCTTTTATAGAGAGAAAAAAAAAGGAACAAAGAAACTCTCAGGGCGCTTTGGAGGAAAAACGGAGCCCTGTTCTGTCACCTCTATTCTAGAGATGATACAATCATGTTGCTGCTGACGCTCCGCGAAAAACAGACATAGCTGGAACCTCACAACACACGATCCTGCTGCCTGGAGCCGGACCAGAACAGAATTTGGATTATTCTTCCATTAAGATGTCGTTTCCACCCCCCCAAACCCCTCTCTTACTTCCTCAGTACCACGTCTTTTTCCACTCGTTGCCGTCCAACAGTTTGCGAAAAAAAAAAAAAAGGCTAAAAAAATACGTTTTTTTTTGTTGCTAATTTCTTGTTCACTACAGAGGTTTTATTTTGTTAAAAAAAAGGGAACAACAAAAATGAACAAAATCAAAAGTTCTTTGGAGGAATCCCACCATTGCGCAGCTATAGACTAACCAGCGTTCTCAGAGCGTTAAAAACAAAGTTTCTTTTTTTTTCCAGAGATGTGACTTTGTGCCCGCTTGCTTCTCTTTCACAAACGTAAACAAAACAACAAAATACAAGTCGAGTGTCTCTTGTTTTCCATGCCACCGGCGCTCTGTACAGTCATTGGTGCAGGAGGGAGCCCTGGCCCCACCCCCTTATTATTAGTTTTTTTTTCCTTCTTCTTCAGCCAGTCACAGTTCAGTAGATTACTTCATAGACTGTGGCCTTCTTGTCCCCGGAGCCGGTGACTATGAACTGGTCGTCAGGGGAGATATCGCAGCTGAGAACCGACGAAGACTCCTTCGACTGACGAGACACAGAAAAGGAAGCGCGTGAGCAACGGAATCAATCAGCAGGATGGTCATTTGTCAGTGAATTGTTCCCATCATCCGAGCTATTCCTGGGCATTTACAGAGTTCTCCAACCTACCTGGAATATGCTGGATCCGTAAGGTGTCCGCCATGCATTCAGGAGGTTATCTTTGCCCGTGCTCACAAACCATTTACCTACAGGACGAGACACACACAAGCAGCACAGATAACGTCTCAGGGGGGGTGAGATATGGAGAAGCCCGAGAGGAGAAGTGCTGCTTTTGTAAGCAAAAAAAAAAAGAACGGAAGAATAACGAGAAGCAGAAGATTTGTTCTGCCTCCCTCGTCATTGTGTGTGTGTGTGTGTGTGTGTGTGTGTGTGTGCGCATACCGCAGTAGGCGAACTTGAGGGACAGAACGCAGCTCTCGTGGAGGTGCAGCTGGTACTTGTCGGGCTTGGAGACGTGCAGGACTTCCACGTTGCTGCTCTCCATTCCCACCGCCAGCCACTCGCCTGTCGGACAGTAGCCCAGAGAGAAGATCTGCAGGACGGGGGAGGGAAGAAAGGTGTCAAAAGGGGGAGGGGGGGGCGAGTGAAATGTGTGTTTGTGAGCGCGGGCTTCAGCGAGCGCGCACCTGCGAGGTGAAGTCGTGCTGCTGGAGCTGCCGTCCCTCCCGGAGGTCCCAGCAGCGCACCGTGTTGTCCAGCCCCCCCGTCCACAGCTTGGTGCCGTCGTTGGAGATGTCGATGCAGCTCGCTCCGTCCGTGTGGCCCTGGAACTGCCTGCGGGGGGGAGAGGGGGGGGGAGACGCAGCCTCTTTATGATCTCCGCTCATTGTGCAGAGTGCTACAATCTGATTATTACTTCAGCTTGGTCACGTCTTTGCCTGCTCGTCGTGTAATACGGTTCGTTTTATAAAAAAGGACGATGGTGCACCACATAATACGTCACAATATCATTCATGGAACAGATTGCATTTAAGTAAGAGCGTTTCGTGAAATACAAAAACTGAGTAATAGCAGTTGGAAAATGATATTGCTGTGAGAAGAAGATTTACTTGGGTGTCATGTCAAACATTTGGGGGATCCAACAGGGATTAAAGTGACCACTATTTTAAAGGAATTGCCCGGTTTCACCTCTACAAACCATGTGGAGAAGCAAAAGCAAAAAAATCCTTATCCAAACTTAATATAAAGAATATTAAATATTGGAGAGAGCTGTGCTTTTCAGACATAATTCTCTGTACCACGCCACACTTTCTATTATTGGAAAAAGCTGAAATTTTGTAAAAACTGTATTTGTACAGCTTTATTGTGTTATTAAACCGCTTTCAAGAAAGACTTACAAAAATAAATGACAAGCTAAATCCCCCACATTGCCGTCCCTCTCTGCTCTCGTCGCACTTTCCCTCTCTTGTAATTCAAACATGTTTCTCACGGCGTGCACTGGTCCAAAGTCTCCACCCCCGCTCACCTGACCAGCGTCTGGTTGTGAAGGTCCCAGACCACGATGTTGCCGTCGCTGCAGCAGGAGAAGCAGACCTTGTTGTCGGGGGAGATGGCCAGAGCGTAGCAGGCGGGAGCGGACGACGTCAGCTCCGCCTTGATGCGGGGAGTGGGCGTGGCCAAATCCCAGATGGACAGCGTGCTGGCCTCCCCGCCGACGATCAAGGTCCGTCCGTCCGAGAGCAGCTTGCAGGAGCGGATGTAGTTGTCCCGGTTCTGTTTGGACAGCGTGAAAATGACAACTTCAAAACAGCGATACATTCCATGCTGTGGTACTTTGCAGTTCATGACGCGGGTACACGGAGGTAAAAGTTATCACAGCGATAAATAAACACGCCGGAGGATTTAGGACAACGACACAAAAGGTGATCCGTCATCTGTCAAGTGATGTCACGCCTCCCTTTTGGTGGTAAAGTAACATCGTTGGCCCACAAGATGGAAAACACACTTTAAAAGTGAGTGTGCAAACATCTGGGCTTCGTCCCTCACGTCTCACCAGGCAGTCCAGCTGGGCCATGGGGCTCTTGCTTCCGGGCTGGCTGATGTCCCACACCTTGACGCAGCCCTTGCCCCCGGTGTAGACGTGGCGCGTGGAGGTGCTGATGGTGACGGCACAGACCACCTCGCCGTGGCTCAGGGTGTGGATCTGGCGGGCGTGGCGAGGGATGCCCGGGCCCAGCAGGGCGTCGGGGGGAAAGGGCACCGGCTGCATCTGGCCGTCGGCGCTCACGTGGAACGAGTAGGCGCTGCAGGGAAGGAAGAGGGACAGAAAAGGATGAATTACCGATAACTGAAGAACACGTCAGCTCGGAAAATATCATGTTACTTTGTTTACATTTCTGCTGCAGATGCAAGAAAAAAAAATAAGAAAACTCGCCAAGTCCTCTGGGGTTGAATACGTTTTGTGCTAGTAGAGATACTTTCAAGCCAAACACCTTCTTAGCAAAGTCATTTCTCCCTTTTCTTCATCATTTTGTTCTTCCGGTGTGGTGGTTGAATGTGAGCACAACCAGAGTGCAGTGAAAAGTTACCAGGGGAAGATTTGAGTGATGGCAGGAGAGGAGGAAGAGGAGGAAACTCACGGTTTTCCGGAGGAGGCTGACTGCAGGCTGGCAGGCAGCCCGGGGACCCTCATGTGTGGGTGTGGGGACTCATAGCCCACCTGGAGGAGTGAGCAATGAGGAGGCAAGAGGAAAGACAATATCAGATGAGGGCTCAAAATGAAATGAGATCATATGAAAGCAAAGAGGCTTTTCAAAAGCTGAAGGTCATATATTAACAATAAATGACAATGAAGCTGTTACCCCTCTATACACACACACACACGACGGATAATCTGCAGAGTGTGTAGCTCACCACAGGAGACCGGCCGTAGCCGGCGGCAGCTGCTGCAGCCGCCACTGCGGCTCCGTTCATCTGGGGGGAGACTAAGTGGAGACATGCGCCGTAACCCGCCGCCCCGCCCAGGTCCCCGTTGACCCCCGGAGGCAGGCCGAAAGCCCCCGGCGGATACGCTTCCCTGCACCGCCAGGGGTTTTCTCAGACCCAGAGCTGGAGGGGAGAGACCAGAGGGAGTCGGTTTATTGTGAACACGTCATTGATGGGGGAGACGGGACTGTCAGTCATTTCAGGAGGGGCATCAGTTCCGGGTCTTTTTGCGGCGACTCCCTCCGCGGGTGGGGTGGGGGGGGGGGGCTCACTGTCAGAGACGGTGATGAGTGACGGGTTGTGAACACGCCTGCCATACAAAAAAAAGCAGGACGCCATCGCCAGACGTAGCACTAGACCACTACTGCCCCCTGCTGGTTATCAGGCCGTCCTGCTGCGAGCCAACGTGTAAATGTATAAACAAACATCCTCCAGCAACGCTGCGTGTAACTGCATCTACAAGCCTGTACATATGCATGCGTGATGGTGTGTGTGTGTGTGTGTGTGTGTGTGAGCGAGAAAAAAGAGAAACTGAGGAATAGATTGAGGCTCATTACAAAGCAGCTCACCGTCACAGTCCATCACCTCCCCTAATCTTTCCATAAAAAAGTAAGAGGGGCTGAATATTTTTTCCCACAGCTGCTTATTAAGTCCAGATGGTGGTGGTGGTGGTGGTGCGGGGGGGCGTGTCTGACACTGATACCAACTAGTGCGGCCCAACGCTGACAGCATCACTACGTGTAACAAAGCAGGTGCAGGCTACGAAGCCCGTTTCTGCAGTGACCGATTCATGTTTCTGATCGGAGCTTTAAGCGGCGAACTTCCGCGTCCCTCATTGGAGACATTTGTCTTTTTGGTCTGCTGACATTCTCCAGAGATTTAGACAAGTTTCCTTCCCGGATTCGTTGGGGGATAAGAGCAAGCTCATGGGACGTTCTTACCGAGGGGGTCCACACCGGGCTTGCCGGGGACGGGTCTGAACTGCGGAGGTCCGCTGGGTCCCGGGGTGCTGGAGTCTTGAGACATGGGGGTCCCTGGCTTCATACCCGGAGTGCTGGACTTCTCCCTCTGGGAGGGCGGATAAACGTGTTCATGTGACACCAATAAAATACAAATCATGGCAAATGTGTATTCTTTAGGTCGTGGCGTGGTCGACTGAACACAGAGGCGTGTCGGTCTACCTGCGGGGGCTCTTTGCCACGAGATGGGGAGGGCGCGCTGCTCGAGGAGGCGAGGGAGGCGGGGCTTGCTTGAGGGGGGGCCTCCTTACGGGAGGGGGGCATCTTGTCCAGGCCGTTCTCCCTGGACGAGTAGGACTGCACACTGCGGGGGGACGACGGATCCTGAATACAAAATGAAATAAAAATAAGAAGTATAAGGAGAGTTATTCATTAATTCCATTTTTTAGTGCGGAAGGCCGCAGATAACAACTTGTCGCGCTCTTTCTTAGGGGCATTTACTCTTTTGTTAGCTTGTTTTAATGTACGATTGGTTCAAGTCACTTATTACAATATTCAGGTGTCTATGAATATTTGATTTATTAATTTATTTACTCTTCTCGTTCTTGTCAAAAACACTTTCCAATAAGCTGCAAACAAATCTGATCATGCTATATAAAAGAAATATATTGCACACTAAAAACAACTTCGGAGAAACCACATGTCTTTCAGCATTACAAGATTCGTAATGTTAACTCACAGCAGCTTTAAAACAGACTTGAAAACTGTGAATTTATCCATTATTGTGTACCGTAACTGCATGTGCCAACGTTGTTCTTCATTGAATGACTCTCTGGCACCAAATGAGAAGCAACCAAGAATGTAAAAGTTCTCAGGAGGTGAATGTATTCTCACCTACCGTCACCTCATGAACAATGTGCGCTTCATATATAGAACACATACGGAAGAAAACTTGCTTTCCATCATCGGTTACTAAACTGATAACTGTACATAAGTGCAGCAGGAATTGCAGTCACGTGTGCGTTTTCATTTCTACTTTATGGTTGTGTTGTAAAACAAGGCAGGCAGAGGTGGAGCAGGACGTGGGTGGGGTGGGTGGTGGGTGGGGTGCTGTCGTTATTTTCATTATTCAGATGGTCCTGCTGGGTGTGTTTACATGATGTATGCAGATGAAAGCGGTGAAGTGAGGCCGCCGGCCTCCTACTAACCTCATCCACCACCAAATTATCATCACTCTTATCCGCATCGCTGCCCTGTGAGAGAAGAGAGAGGAGGGATCAGATATTCCTGCTCGGCCGTCGGATGTATGCAGATCACATGCAGGAAAACACGGCGCAAAGTCAAATGGAACCCATTTGAATAACTTTCATAAAAAGGTATTTTTATTGTTTTGACTTGTTAACACGGCAGATGGAGGAGAACGGTACGTCGCGCCTGAACACGTTATCGCCCGAGACGGCCGGAAGATAACGGAACGGGCAGCGCGAAATGTCGTTGATTCATTCTAGATGTGCAACTTGGTAAAGGTGAAATCCTCTGCGGCACTTTGTTTTCTTAACGCTGCATAATGAGAATAGAATAACTTGGATGATTAATTCATCTCAAAACACAGTCCTCAACGCATTTGCTTTCCCACAAAACGAGAATGACGGTTCAGCGATGACAGTCGGCAGTGTGCGAACGGTTCAACAACAAGTACAGACACCACTGGTCTCATCTGGCAAAGACTCGCCTTTTAACTCTTTTAACATTTAACTCTTTTATTAAAGTAACTCACATAGTCGGTCATGAACTCCTTCTCGTCGGCTTTCCTCTTCTTGCCGTTGCTGAGGTAGTCTGCTGAGCGACCCTTGTCCCCGTTGGACAGAGAGCTCTGCAGAGGGAGACAGAGAGGGGGAGAAAAAAAAAAAAAGAGCAAGACGGTGAGGCAAAGAGGATGGGAGGTAAGGAGGGAGGAGAGGGTTGCATGGGGGCACAAAGAGGCAAAGGAAGGAAGGAAGGAGTGGAGAAAAAAGGGCGAGGGGGAGGACGAGGGTGATAATGAGGTGAGAGGGGCCGCATAAATCACGCCAGGCTCACAGGCTGCCGAGATGAATGTGAGGGAATATCAGCCCCCATCGATCGGCTGGCTCACTGTAGGAGTGAGACGAGGAAAGGCAACGCGTAAAAATGTCTTTACGGCAGCAGAAAAAGGCTGCCGAGCAGTCAGAGTGCCTTTTGGCACTCGTGGACAGTTTTCTAAACTGGTATTGATGCAATGTTGAGATCTAAATTGTTGCCATAAAGGGTTCATCATCAACCAAGAAAAGGAACCAAATAGGAACCTTTTTTATGTTATAGGACTAATAGCTTGAAATATGTTAATTAGGAAAAATAATGGTTATGCTTTATAATTTCAGAAGGATTTGTCCATAAGTGCTACTTATTATATATAAAATAGAAACTATGCAAAAGTAGTAATCCAATTGAACTGATTACTATGCAAGTATTTCTTTCTTTAATGTTAATGTTAGGTAGTTAAAAAGAAAAGAAATCAAAGACAAATTAAAGCTTTCCCTTGGATTTTAAGGTTTTAATGAGTAATTTGTATATATACACCTACATTTACCTTTAAATACAAGTGTAAAAACACAGACCGTATAAATAATGGTTTAACGGGCGGATGAGGGAGACGGTGAGTGGCGTCGGTGTTTGTGTAGTAATGTGTACTCACTGGTCCGGCTTCACGGTCTGCCCGTCCCAAGCGCCAGTCGCATCCAGGTACCCGGCCAGCGGACAGCGAGCGCCGACAAGAAGACAAAAATGCAACATCATCACTTTGTACGTCACTCCACAGCTGGTGACTCAGTGGGGAAAAATCCTAGGAGGGGTGTTATTAACATCAACGCTCCTGTGGTCTGCCAAAAGAAATCCCAAAACAAGCCAATCATCGAGATCCAACAAGCCAAGCCCCCCCCAGAGAGACGCTCTTCATTAATAACATTGCAATCAGACTTTAGTCCGAGCCCTAAACTCACTTTGCTCCTGGAGTAAGGCATCGATTTAAAGCGCCGTACCTCTGTGGTGCTCCGCCGCTGCGGCGGCGGCGGCTGCGGCCTCCAGGTGAGCTCGCTCGTCCTTAGCAGCCAACTGGGCCCCCAGAGCCCCGGACAAGGCCAGCAAGCTGGACCCTCCGCCCAGCGCCAGGCCGGGGTGGGACAGCCCCGACGGGTGCGGGCCCATTGGCAGACCCTGGGCATGCTGGGAGAGGTGCTGCGCCTGAAGCTGCTGCTGCAGAGACGGAAGAAGAGCGAGAGAGAGAGAGAGAGAGCGCGTAACTTACAGGCAATGGAAGAAGTGGTTCAAACGTGAAGTGATCAAGAGGAGGAAGAAAAGAGGGAACTAAGTGCTGCGATGTGTACGAGGGGACTTTAGGAGGCGAAATGTTGTGGCCTAATCAGATGAAAAATGTCTAAAACTGAAATGTTATTCGAAGTTTTAACTCCCGTTTAAATCATATTTGCATGGAACAATTGGACAACAGGGACCTTGAACACAACCTGACGAGGATGTTGCTGTTCAGGTACCAAAAGATAGTCATCCATCTTTATGAAATTAATCAGTATAATTTAGTTTATGCCTCAATAAAACCAAAAGACGGTCAAATACATAAATGGGCGGATATGGTACACGCGCTATGAGGCAGAGGGGGGAGCCCACGTACCCCTATCGAAGCATTTAGCTCCCCCATGGTCACCTGTTTGGCGCGCTCCATGGCCTGGACCACCTGTTGCTGGTGCTGAGGAGAAAAAGGCAAGAGGTCAGTGAGGATTCGGAATGACAAACCCCTACTTAAAATTCAGATGTCATTTTTTAAAAATCTGTTTAGTTTTTAAGTGAAAAAAAAACAAAAAAAAAAAACAAGATTTTTTTTTAAATCTAGATTTTTTTTAATCATGTGAGCGCATGCAACCATTGGGCGGTCGAGGAATGTGCTTTGAAGTTTGGCTTTTCAGCAGCTGTGTGTGTGCGCGAGTTATTAGTTTAGTGGGCACGCTGGTCCACCCCGTCTGCGCGGGCCGCTGACAGACAGGAGAGAGAGGGCTGGATGCAGTACAGTGTGTGTGTGTGTTTGGGGTGGGGGGGGGGTCCCACCTCCTGTGACAGGAAGGGGATGAGCTGAGCGCAGATCACGTTCAACCGCTTGGCAATCTCCGTCTGAAAGGGGGGAGAAAAGAAAAAAGATACGGTTGCTTCGATGAATAAACACACACACACAGACGCAGAGCCTAGATGGAGCTCGAACAAAACGAGAACACACACATTCAGAAGGTCACGTGCGCGTGTACACACACACACACAGCGTGGCTGTGGCCTGCTTCTCCCAGGCCCAATGTGGTAAATATTTCAGCTGCTTACATTTGGTCCATGCAAATGGAAACTCTGCCAGGGAGATTGGCTAAAATATTCATGGCCGGCATCTGCCGCGGCCTGAGCCAGCCCACACAGTGAGTGTGTGTGTGTGTGTGTGTGAGAGACAGAAAAGATGCAAGATTCACCTTCTTTTCTCTTTGTGTGAGTGAGTCTCTGTGTGTGTGTGTGCGTGTGTGCGTACACATGTTTCTCATGTGCCCCTTGCATGTATGTGTGTGTGTCTTTGTGCGTCTGCATTTTGCATGCTCGAGTGAGTGCGTTCCCTCCCGGGGGGGTCAGTGTTTCCTGCTGTGGGTGTGTGTCCGTCTCGATCAGCGCTGCTGCACAGCCAACTGTCCCTGCGCAGCTCGCTTTCCATCGCACTCCATTTGTTGCCGTTCCTCCCGCCCCCCGTTGCATTTCGCCCTTCCTGGTTGACGTTTGATAATTAGTGCTTGAAGCGTGGTTATGTGCAACATGCGTACGCACACAGACATGGACACACACACACACACACACACACTGCTAGTAATGATATGCATGCAGAGATCATGACAACATCATTATGGCCGCAGGCTGTTTTTCTTGTTGACGGCTAGACTCTGCATGACTGTGCGTGTGTGTGTGTCTGCGCGCACTTACTAGAGCATGTCAGAATGTATGTGTGTGTGTGTGGGGGGGGGGGGAGGGGGAGAGGGTGGGTGCACACTCCCCCCCCTCCCCCCTCCATCTCATTCTCTCTCTTAAGTGATTTATTGATGCCGGACTGAACTTCCAACGCCTCCTTTTTCTCCCCCTCTCGCTCATTCCTCTCGCACACATCTCTCCCTCCCTCCACTCTCCCTTTTCAGCAGAGCAGCGTGCTCCCCCCTCCCCCATTCCCTCCACCCTCTGAATCCATCACCCACCCCACCCCAAGGGAGACACAATGATTTCTTGTTAGAGAACTCCAACTACTAAGTGACATCTTCTGGAGAGGGAGGGGGAGAAAGAGGGGGGGGGCAATCGAGAGAAGAAGGATAAAGAGGGGCGGAGGAGGAAGGGGAGGATGAAGAAAAGGGCAGATTGGGTTGAGAAAATTACAGCCAATGAATGAAGGATGTGGGAGGTAGCGGAGGAATAGAGATGGAGAAAGAAGAAACAGGGGAGGCCGGGGAGGAAAATCCAAATGGGTTGGAGGAGGTGGGGGAGGTGGGCGGGGGAGGGGGGAGGTGGGGTTTGACAAAAGCAAAGCGATTGAGATGGTGAAATGAACAGAGAGAGAGAGAGAGAGAGAGAGAGAGAGAGAAAGAAAATAGACGGCAGGAAGGCAGTGACCTGATTTAAAGTGAAATTCAGCATGGACTGTGTGTCTGTGATGAGACAGAGGAGGAGGCAGAGTGTGTGAGACGGAGAAAAAAGAAATGAAGAGTGGAAGAGAAATCAATGGGAAGGAAGGAGGACGGAGACAGGGGTGGTGAAGAAATGGGGATTAAGGAGGAGGAGCATTAAAAAGGACAAAGTAAGACAGCAATCGAAGGGAGAGGAGAAAGCGGGGCTGAGGATGAAGAAGCAGGTCAGGAGTGGTGAGGGAGGGATGGATGAAGAGATGGATGAAGAGATGGATGACGGGATGGAGGGATGAAGCAGTAACAGGCTTGAGGAAGGGCAGAGTATTCTTGTCGGTCGAGGTGGAGAAATAAATATTGTTTGTGGATCCTATTAACGCCTCCGCCGCATAACGGCGCTGTATGAGTCCATCAGTGAGAGGATGGACATTACAGCGGTAGAGAGACAGAAAATGAAAGCACAGAAGAGAGAGAGAGAGAGTGAGAGAAGGCTTTCTGGGGGGAAAACAAGTTACTTAAAAGAATGAGGCAGAGAGCGCTTAGCGAATAATGCAATGCTTTAGGAAAATGAGGCAGGGAGAAAATAAATGCTGGGGGAGACAAAGACGGATCTAGCTCACCTGTTTGTGCATTTCTATGTTAAGGCCGTAGGACATCTCGTAATACTGAAAAACAGAAGGACATCAGTTTACACACCTGATTATAAAGAATTTAAGTTGACCAACATTTCATGTATGGAGCAGATAAAAAAACAAAAATCATATAATGAATATAGAAATGAGGATGATCATTTTCAAAAGACAGAATGAGACTTTAGAATGAAAACAAAGCAAGCCGATGTATTTCCAAACCAATCTCGATACTGCGCATCATCTTCTTTACATATAATCTCTTTAAATAGTTAATTTCAGCGGCGTGAGACAAGAACCACTCACAACATCATTTTTCTGGGGTCCCATCGTCAGACGACGCCAGCGCTCTGATGGGCACGCATGTCCCCAACAGCGCAAGGCCACTAATTTCACCTCGACTCTGCTGAAAGTCAATGGCACATAAATGACCCCGAGGCGCGTTACTGAAGCCAGAAACCCGAAGCGAGGCGGGGAAATTGTCGGCGGGCGGAGGAAGGTGACAGACTACCGCAATAATCACGACTAATGTGCGCTATTTGACCCTGGCTTTCACCCAAAAGTACAAGGAGCTACGGGTGAGTGCAGGGGGGAGACGAATGCCACAGAAAGAGGGAGGAGGGGGGAGACGGGTGAATGTCTCTACCTTCGGAGATGGATGGAGGAGAGCATTTTTAAGTCAGATGCCTTGAAGGTGACAGGCTGACATTTGCTTTTCAGCGTGGCTGGTCTCGGAGGGAGGAGATTGGCAGCCAGGCAGCCAGAACAGGACGGCAGAGGAGATGGCAGCGCTCCGCTCTCCCTCTCTCTCTCCAGACGTCTTCTCTGGCAGTTAGCACGCCTATATGTGTGTGTGTGCTCGCGCAGGTGTGCACGTTTGTAGCACACGCATGCAACTCTGTAGACGTGTGTATCAATGTACTTTGTGCCCACGGCCCCCCGGCGCATGTGTGCGTGTGCGTTTCTTTTTCTGTGTGTGCCACCATAAAAAGACGCTTTTCCTGGCAGCTGCTCGGCAGTTGCTGTGCCAAGTTTCTCCTGTTGCTTAGCAACATTCAAACCCAAATCATCTGCCAGGAAAAGGAGACCTGGGGTACGCTCGGTGCCAGCTAAACCCCCCCCACCACCACCACGCGCGATGAGATGCAAAAGCTTCAAACTTTACAGGAATATCTAAATAGAGTGGGCCAATTAAGCTGCAGTGTCAGAGAGCAAACCATGTGATCACAATTACTTCTAACGGATAAGTGTGTGTGTGTCCGTCCTTTGACACACACACACCATCACACAGGTTTTGGGTTGGCAATTTATCTTTTTTGTGTGTGATCACAGTTAGTGCTTTAATCGGACAAGGCGTCGGATTCCACAGTTCGGCACTAAGTAGTTTATAAAGTCAACACCTCAGAGCGCTGCAGACGAGGCCCGAGAGAAAGAAAACACTTCCATAAACTAGGACAAGATTTCCTGCACATGCAGGTGCCATTTATCCTGAAGTCCTATAATGTGTGTGTGTGTGTGTCGGTGGGGGGTCTTGCGTGTGTTTTTTGGTGGGTGTTTGGCAGCTGTTGGCAGATGAAAGGAATTCAGCGGACTTGGCACCGCATGTGTCGTGGAGAGACGTGACCTCGGTGTGTGTGTGTGTGTGTGTGTGTGTGTGTGTGTCTCACCATAACGTAGTGCCTCTGGATCTCAGTCTTCTCTGTGGCCAGTTTCTCACACTCCAGTTTCAAACTGCAACAGAGGGGGGAAAAAAAAAATAAAGGATGGGTTTATATTTGTCTCACATCACGAGTAAAAATACACAATGCAATTAACATTATGAAAACAAATTACTCCCTCCTCGTTTGCACTCGCCGTCACCCCTCCCTCTCTTTCCCCATCTCGCGCGCTCTCTCTCTCACCCAGTGGGGGGAGGAGAGGGCTGGGTGACTGGAGTGCTGACAGCCCATTATCACCTCAGTGCAGAGCAGAAATAGACAAAGTCACGCTCGCAGCCTGAAACCCGGCCAAGGCTGCAGGCAGATCCAAGGTCTCTCTCTCTCTCTCTCTCTCTCTCTCTCTGGACAATTCTCAATCTATCCCTGTGCCCTCCACTCATCCTCATTTTGTTTCTTCCCCAATTATCAGCCAGTCCTTTCGTCCGCGCCGCCTTCTTTCACCTTCGACTGCGCCGTCTGCCAAGTCCCCCCCCCCAAGTCAAAAGCTTCAGCTTTAAGTGGGTCAAAAGTGCCAGTTCGGTCTGGATGTGTAATAAATCGGCCCTTTTTTTCCTGTTTTAACAATCGCTTCGCTCTTCTTCTGTTCAGGAGGTGACCGGTGCGTGTTTGCTCAGTCTGTGAGCATGTCAGGCTACCGCAGCGAGGCCTGTTGTGGTGAAACACACACACACACACACACACACACACACACACACACACACACACACACACAACCTGAAGTGATCGCAGCAAAACACCACCTCTCCCACGTGTCCCATGTTTTCTGTCTATCCTCAAGTTCTGTCGTTCTCTCCTTGCACAGAATCTAGTCTCTGGTGTCCTTTAAAACACAATCACACACACCCCTAAATGTGTTTGTATATCAGGTCCAATCGCACAAACACCTCCCAGGTTACTCTGCAACTCTCTCCATCTCTCACCCCCCCCGATCCCTTCCGCCCCCTCCCCAGAGAGGTGCTATATTTTGGGCCCACGGCAGTTTACGCCAAGTTGTTTGCGGGCAGCAGATAGATGGATGGGGGAGGGGAGGGGAGGAGAGGAGAGGGGGGGCGGGTGCGGCGAGGCGGGTCGAGGGAGGTGGAGGGAGGCGTTTGGCGGCGGGAAATTAGAATGTGATTAATACCGCAACATTACCCCCAGCAGCAACAGGTAATAACGGCCCCATCCTCTCCCCCCTCCACACACACACACACACACACACACACACACACACATAATTGACTCATTTATCATTGCCAGTCAGTCGAGGGGAAGCGGGATGAGCGAGGAGAGGGAGAAGCACGGCGAGGAGTGGGAGAGGGGGGGGGAGAGCGCGGTAGAGAGGATTAAACCACCCCCATAGATTTTATTACAGTGGAATTGTCTCTCGGCACAAGCCACTCACAGCCGGGATGAGGACCAACTAATGCGACTGTGTGTCTGCTCTTGTGTTCATTATGACAAACTTGGGAGGAGCTTGAGGAGCAGAGCTAGAGACGCATGAGACATAAGAGTTATTGACAAGCACAGAGAAGTGAGATTGTTGTAGCAAATCCAGCTGTGATTCGCGCAGACTTTTGTGAATTAATAAATCGGTCGATTGTTTTTGGTTGAGTTATACTTAAAAATGTATCTTAAAAAAATCCCAAAGCTTCCCAAAGTCTTACAACACGTTTTTCCCGTCCAAAAAGTCCAATAGGTAATATTGTAATGCAGGGAAGCTGATGCCAATGTGTCAAAACTTGCTCTTTACGGAGCAGCAGAAAGAAGTCGAATTGCGTAGAAGTCGATGTGAACTGGATTGATTGTCTCTCTAAACATTGTAGACTTTAGTTTTTGGATTTATCGTCTTTTTTTCTTCGTCAACACAGCATGAGGTTAATCTGGTAAATTACGGTCTAGTTCAGACTAAAATGGACCATAAAGCAGAGTATGCTTTACAGCGCCATTACTATGATTGACAGGTCCCTGCTGCCTCCGCATTCCAAATATGGTAGTGTGGTAGCCTCCACACACACACACACACACACACACACACACACACACACACACACACACACACACACACACACACACACACACACACACAGGAAGAAATAGCCGTCCCCCACAAAATGGACCTCAAGGAATGAAATTACTGTATGTGTTGGTCTGTCTGTCATGTGATGTGATTCTGTAGGAGCGGGGGGGGGGGGTGGGGGGGATAGAGCCATGAGCAGGAATTGAGTACTTCATGTGTAAAGCATTGCTTTTAATAATTAGTCACCCCATTTACTGAGAGAGGGGTCTGCAGGACAAAAAGACAAAGCAACAGAGAAAAAACAAGACCGAGTGAGTGAGAAAAAAGGAGATGTAACGGAGCATGTGCGTGCACGCGCGCCACGGTGGGCTCGGTTCCTCCAATCTTTCACTGGCGGTGACAGGAGATAAGATGATCAGCCGAATGCGCTACAAATCTGCAGCCTGCCAGCCTTCAGACAGCTCTGTCAGTGCTCTACTGCGACACACACACACACACACACACACACACACACACACACACACACGCGCGCACACACGCACACACGCAAACTAAAGCTACATACATACAGCGTATACTGCAGGCCTGCGGGCACACAGACAAAACGCGCTTGTGAGCACACATACAGTTTGTACACCCACACAAACCTACTGAATAAACGCACAGGCAAACACACACACACACACACACACACGCTATCGAGAGCCGACAGACAGCGAAGCATCTAATTAAGACCCTGTACTTTGCAGAAATGTGCAGTCTGCGTGTTTGAAACAGGCTACTGGGTACTGGGGGGGAAGGAGGGAGGCTTTTCAGTGTGTGTGTGTGTGTGTGTGTGTGTGTGTGTGTGTGTGTGTGTGTGTGTGTGTGTGTGTGTGTGTGTGTTTCTGAACAATACTTTTAATTTCACTATTCCCCCATTGATTATTTTACAGAATCTCTGTTTGCCTGACTATTTTTGGAGAAGCGAACATTGATCAGAGGGAGCAGGGCTGCAGAAACAATCATTAAAATGAGTTGGTGCCAGCCATTTTTTTTATAAATATGAAGAGCTGAGCCCTTTATAGTGACAGTCACAGAGCCTTAAGTGTAGATAATTGATTATCCATCACTTAATAACATTTCAATTTCAATGCTTGTCCATAATAACAGTTATAAATGTGAATCTTTGCTGGTGTGTTACACAAGTCTTTAAAACAGACACGGTGATGCCGTTATTTTACTCACCATTCTCATATAACATTCGCCCATCTCAGAACACAACGGCCATCTCTCTGATGATGGTGGGCAAGCGAGGGGCTACATTTTGGAGGATCTGGTGTAGCCGGCGGATATCCGGCTCCAGACTAGTTTTCCGTGCGTATCCGCGTTGCTGTCCGTGCCGGCGGCTTAACTGCATTCAACCAGAGCTCAAACGAGACCGGTCGACGCTACTCCGACTGCATCATCTACTAAAGGGGCCCAACGGTTCAATGCTGCATTTCACAGCGACGTCACACATCCTGATAAACATAACCATCTTTTTCAATATAGAAACATTTCCAGGCAAAAATTCAGTCCCCACTAAAACCTCGTGATCCTCGTTAATCCTGACATGCTGCATCCAAGTCTGGTGCCTCGCCGCCAATTCAGAACTCTAACTTGTTATGCAGTCTGGGGCCCGTCGTCGTCGTCGTCGTCGTCGTCTTGGCAAACAAGCATCGTCTCTGACACTATGTGCTATGCAAATACAGAGCTACCAGCCAGAAGAGAACACACACACACACACACACACACGGGTGGGACCCACGTAGCAACTGCATCAGCGTCGTGCCTTTACAGTGTCAGCGGCATTTAGCCCGCCAGCCTGCAGGTATGTGACTGTTCCCTTTACATCCCATTAAGTATTGATGAACCAAAGCTGCCTGCTCCCCTGGAATCAAACTACTCTTTTATCATCTCTCAAGGGTGTGTACCAGAGCAGAGACGCACACCCACATTAAACAAAGCTGGGATCTTGTTGCACGATAGCAGAGCAACCATACCCCTCTCTGCTGCAAGGAACACACACACACACACACACACTTAAAAAAGGGAGAGGTTGTGCCACACAAACCAATCCAAAAATAAAATAATATTTATGAAGAAATAATAACCAGCCAGCCCTCCCTAAAGCAGACACAACTTCATTTTTGGTGGGTGACAGACAGTTAGGTGACTATTACACAGGACAGGCACCTCTGACTATTTTCTGCAATTAGTCACACTAACTGCAACACACACACACACACACGTCATCTTCTGTACCCTAACCCGGGCAGGTCGGTAGCCAATCACAGGGCTGACAGCGACAGACAACCATTCGCACACCTACGGGCAATTTGGAGTCACCAATTAAGCGAACCCCCGGAGCATGTCTTTGGACTGCGGGAGGAAGCCGGAGTATCCGGAGGGAACCCGCGCAGACACGCGGGGAGAATATGCAAATCCACCCCCCACCCACGAAGATCTATTCAATTAAATTTAGACAGACTCATCTGCGTAGCCTCCTCAAGAACTTTCTTCCAAGCATATCTGACACTACTAAGGTCCGTTGAACAGGCATTTCTATGGAGGAGTGAAAATGTCCTTCCATGTCCATTTTAAATAAGACAACTAATTGGCTGTTAGGCCAAAAAACACTGAGTATAGTCAGGATTTGTATGCACTGATTCTATACGTCCAAAAGAAAGATTTTTTTTATGATTAAGTGAAAGCTGCCTTCATTAACCTTATTTTGTATAAGATTAATGAAGGCAGCTTTCCCTTAATCATAAAAAAAATCTTTCACGAGAAGGATGACATTTTCCCTTGAAACAAACAACCCTTCATTAAAAATCAATATTTTGTCATCTTATCAGTTCAACAAAGTTTGTTAATAAAAAAATATAATATTTGTGTTCATGACGCATCAATAATGCAAAGCGACCATTACAAATTTCTCAGCAAGATCTTAAAATAGTTTGTTTTGTCCAATAGACCAAAAGAAATAAGACAACCAAAGAAAAGAAGCCGACGTTTGATTGATGATCATTATTATTATTATTATAACGGAGCGTGTGATCAGGTGACGGGCAAATATTTACACAGACACACTGCGTGTGAGGTTACGACAGCTGGGTAGTGTTTGGGCGAAGTGATGATTGGTAGCATGTTAGCAGTAAGCAGAGAGCCGATCGTCCTCTAAAGACCACACAGAAAGAAAACTGTGTGTGTGTGTGTAAAGAAAGAATTACAGTAATGAGAGCGATGTGTCAGCAGCTCCTCCCATCATCCCGCAGCCTGCTGATTACAGCCTGTTTAGAGTCAACACACACACAGCAAAAATCAGAGTAGCTGACCCCCCAATGACCCTTTAATTAATCAAGCCGTTCCTTTATTTAGGGTCCTTAGTACCCTTCATACGGATCACACACACACAAATGGCACAAAACCAATGACACACACACACACACACACACACACACACACACACACACACACACACACACACACACACACACACACACACACACACACACACACACACACACACACTTCCAGCTCATCCCTTCCCTCCGTTCATTTCCTGCCGTCTAATCAAACATCTATAAAAGAAATCCACCCCCCTTCGCTGCAGACAGAATACGCAGCTACGCCCGGCTATTTCTAGACGTCTCCCATTTGTGTGCGGAGATAATTGGGGAGGCACGAACACGTGGAAGCGCGTCGAGCACACGCACCAGATTCGGGAGTCCGCCTGAACGGGTCGGCGTGTGCTGGCGTTTTCCAGGCGGCGCGTGATCGGCGATCTGACTCCGCGAAGGTGAAGCGCGCAATCAGATGGAGAATCCGTGTGGAATCCGCGCCTCCACCCGACTGCAGGAGGACCAAACAAGGCCACCGCTAATCCGCTTCATTAGGAATACGAACGGGACGGGGGTACAGGAGACGCTGAAGAGTTGCACTCCAGGCAGAGAGTCAAGTGTCTTTATGGAGGCGCTTGTGATGTTAAAGGGTGACTCCTTATTTTACAACTTAATGGCGGTTTTATGACCTGAAAGCAGCATCTGGCTCAGGAGGTGTCGACGTGCATGACTCTCCTCTGTGATTTTCATCACACACACACACACACACACACACACACACCAACAAAAAAGCTGAAGTAAAAGCCAAGTAAAAAAAAGTTATATATCCATTTCCATCCATATTTTAGCTCCAAGAACTAAAATGCATTTAGAATGACATCAGCATACTGGGCAATAACGGGCGGGGAGGCTGAGGGATTTCTGTTGGTCGACTCCCCCAAAAGAAACAATGGCACTTTCAAATTTAATTGCAGAAAATGAGCAGTGTTGCAAACCTGAGTTTATGGTACAACTAGTACAACTACTAGCTATTGTTACGAGTTTAACACTACTATTGGCTACAAGATATTTATCTGCTGTTATCTGGGTCCGACCAGGCTGCTGGTAGGAAAGTTTGAACAAAAGCTCTCCTGCAAACCTGAACCCGGCCTCCTTAAAAACGGCGCGCTGTGGTACCAAAGCTGGGAGAAGCCGACGGAATCACAAGACGGCTCCTGCACCAAATCTGGACTCTGGATAAAACCTGCAGATTGTTTTTACCGGCAGAAGTGCACGTAAGAGCGCCACAGTCACGTTATCCGTGTCATTGTCTGCATGGTTTTTGGTGGTTAAAAATATTGGGTCTTTTTTGGGGCCATTATCAAGCTATTAGATGTGATGGAGTAGAACTAAATGTCCCCTGAGCTTGATTTGTAATGCTGCCCATACAACAGTGTCTGCCGCTGTTTTGGGGACTTTCTTTGGCACTAATAACTGACCCGTACAATTCCCACACAATCAGGTTTAATAGCGGGGCGAGACAACGTGGCTCTCTAGCATCATTTCACATTCTTGTAAATTACAGGCTGCACTATCGGCTCACAGAATTTTGACTGTCATCATTAAAATACAGTTAACAAGTGCACACGGACAGAATGTACATCGGGATGACCGCCGGTCCCGTCAGTGTTGTGCTGGTAAAACGCAGGCGTGTGGGTGCTGATCAGGCAACACACACACAAACATTTGTCGACTAAAGATTTTTATATTCAAGTTGGAGAATTGGGACTGGATGGCAGATAGAAAGTAATTTGCTAGCTAATTAAACAAATTTTCCTCAAGTTACGACTCTCACTGTTCTAGATAAGCTCATATTGAAATGTTCAATGAAGTGCATAAAGTGATGAAACGGTGAAATCCAGGGGCTCCGCCAGCAGAACAAACAAAGAAACAGAAAGCGACCCGAACCTGGGAAAATAAATATTAGTGTATCGCAAAACTACGTATCAGTACATCCACCATCATTCCAGTGAAGCCTATAACATTTCCTGCAGATTTTAAGGCCTATTTGGGGGTCGAGACAAAAGTACCTGAATGGATTCCGGCATTCTAGGCTCAGTAATAGCCGGACTGTGAGTTTTGGGCGGGCAGAATGGACAGAGGTGTACATACACACACACACACACACACACGTGTGTGTGTACAGGGAGGCAGTAGTAGCCCCAGGGCTGGAGGGGCTCTGGCCAGGGGCAGCAGAACAAAAGAAGTTTGAAGTGGACAGAAAGGGAGGGAGGGCATATTCTGGGCCGGCTAAATCAAAGCGGGATGATCGGGGGAGAGTAAGGGGGAGTGAGAGGTGGGGGTCTTGTGAAGTGTGCCACCAGAACAGAGAGAATAGTAGTAGCGGAGGGGTGGTGTGGGCGTCAATGGGTCGGCCTCTCTATAGTGAGCCCCAAATCCCTCATTCAATGGCATTCTGGCCACATTCCTGCAAATCCAACACACCACACGGCAAAAAGATCAGTCTGCATACTTGGAGCTCGGGTTGGTAACGTAAAGGAGCCAGCAGAGGCACAACTCACTTTTTAGCATGAGCTACAAAAGTCCAGAACCTACGGAGAAGATCTCCAGGTCGGCAACACCCGCCAGACTTCCCCATAAAATTATTTAAATTAACATTTTCGAAAAGTATTTTTTTCTAATTATCCTTGAAGAATATAAAACCCAAACGACGCCGAGCCAGGAAACTGTGCCACGCAAGCGAGAGTCAACGGTCGCGTAGCTTTGCATCGTCAGCGATTGGGTGTGGCTTCGTGCACGGACACACGTAGCACCTCCCCACGACACACCGCACAGGTCCAACCAGGAACCACATTCCTGGTGGATCACGGTGTGGTGCGTTCAGGGTCGTTCTGCCTTAGTCATCGTGAGCACTTTGTGGCCTTTGTTTAAACTGGGAGGGAAGCGTCACTAAAAGCCCCGTGCTCAACACTCACCTGTGGTACTGCGTCTGGAGGAACTGGAACTCCTCCTTGATGCGGTCCAAGGTCTCCGGGTAGGTGAGCTTCAGCGACTGGGGCGCCCCCGACGCCGCCGCGGCTGCTGCTGCTGCCACCACTGAGGCCGAGGACCCCGGGGGTGGCTGCAAAGGCGCCTGAGAAGAGAAGAACGCCAACTTAAAGATTTTAATAACAGATGTAATAGTACAGAGGAGTTTCAATCATTTTTTGGCATTTTAAAAGGTAAAAGTTTGTATGCATCTAATAATCGACCATTTCATATTGTAATAAAAAAACTAAAATCCTTTACAAAAGGAGCAGAGATTGGACACAAAGTACCAGATTGCAAGTCTGAGTAGAAAATATGAAAGAAATCGAGGAGGGGTACTGGAGGGGGGGGGGGTTGAGAGGATCCCACCATAACTAAAGACCCCTCCGAAGCCAGTACTTAGTGTCCCATCTCCACAGGGTTCACAGCAATTAGGAGGCTACAACCAAGGGGGTAATGCTGCGGGACAGGCATACAAAAGGGGGCAGAGAGCTGGACCGGAGTAGGGGGCGGGGGGGGGGGGGGGCTGTACGTCTGTCAGTCGATTTGGCTCTCCGTCAAGATAACAGAACGCAGAGGCCAACGTGGCCGGAGGCAGCCGGCTCACCGCGTCACACCGCTCAAGTACAGTAACGCACAGACTATTTTTAAATGTGGTTACCAAGGTTTGTTAGACGGAGAGTTCTGTTACATTCTTGGCCAAAAGGATAAAACATACAAAATGGAGCAGATTCTTATATCAAAAGCTCCAAGAATAATCCTGAAATGTTGTTTATTTATTTCCGGAGGGGTTTTTTAGAATAGATCAAGTCCAATTTCTGCAGATGTGTAACATCTGCTGATGAAATGAACGTGAGAGCTTTATGTGGAGTGAGAACGGTTACCAAGCAGCTGCCACAGCGGCAGCATCTTTCCAGAGAAGCTGAGCGGAGGACCGTAACTCACTTTTCTCTATTGCGAACTTTAACTGGTTATGAAGCTTGTTTTGAATTTGACTCACAGGGGGGGGGGGGATTATTTTAATATGCGCAACTTGGAATAAATACGTTTATTTACAACAACAACGTTGGCAAAACAGCGCCTGCTTGTATGAAAAACAAAGTATGACGAGCCACTTTAATATGCGTGTTAGCTGCTCATCTTTTCTTCATTTTGCCACCACGTTCTGCATCCACAGCCTTTGCCCAACGTATGGAGGCCTTTTCCTCTAATGCAGCTCAAGGGAACACTGAAAAACTAAAACCGCTGCCCTCCTTTCCGGCGCAACTAAGTATCCTACGAGCAGAGCGGGGGGAGTGTTTGAGGCGTCGGGGATGTCGACGTGATGAGAACGCCGCCCACGGTACAAAACACGCATGTGCAAAGAAACATCCGTGTCCACGGGTGTGACAGTGCAAGATGTGACGACGGGAAGAGGGACGGACAAAAGAAAAGCGTGGGAGGCGTTTCGGCAGGTGAGACGTCAATCGGAAGAGGCGAACGCAAAATAGCGAGGAAAGAGGTTGAAGAAAAGAAAGAAATGTATATATTTTAAGATGGATGGAGCGATTATATGGGTTGGAGTCGACAGGGAGAAAGTCTGAAATATACAGAGAAGAGCAAGAGAGCACATCAAGTGTTTTGAAAGGAGATGGAAATAAGAGAGGGGGGGTAAAGGGAAAAGAGAACCAGCGAAAGGAACAAAAAAAAAAAAAAAAAGGAAGATAGCAGTGGGGCTGTGGCCTCATTGTTCCTCTTTCTAACAAGCTGCTCTCAATCTGTCGGCCAGATCCCCCTCGTAGAGTGCACACACACACTTCTTTTCTAACAAAAAAACCCATGATTAACCACACACACACACATTTCCCCTCCCCTTAACACAAACACGCACACATACCAATTACTCTTCACAGGGGGAAAAAAGAACACCAAGGCCATTTCACAAAGGGAGGGAGAAAGAGGAGAGTATTCTCCTCCCGTCTCTTTTTTTCCCCATCACTCCCTTTTTCAATATAGCGGCTTCTCTCCAGAGGACAGGTAAGAGGGGACGGCGATAGGACATCGCCCTCTCAGACAGCGGCGTGGATGAGGCGAGAGAGGCGTGGTTTTATTTTGTGACGTTCAGAGAACTTTGGGGTGTTGGGGAGAGGAAACCGCAGCCTCTCTGCAGGCTGAGCCACTCGGGACCTTATGGCCTTTGTACAACTGCAGACTTGTGGTCAGGTTGTTGTGATGATTCACAGCAGACTGGACTGGACGCACAAGACTGATGCGGTCTCAAAAACACCGGCTGGGAATTGAGCCGGTTCCAGCACTCACAACCCGTTTCCTCCTCCGCACTGCATGGGGCGATGCAGGCGGTTATTTTTTGCACACACACACACACAATCGAAAAATATGTCCCATCTGTGATGCAATAAAAAATGTGTTTAACTCTGTTAACAGGTGTGTCGAACATCGCGCATCTTATTTATTGTAGTTAGTTATTATTGGGAAGATATTGTGAATTGTAATTATTTTGTCATGGGTAATGGTGACGTTGCATGAGACGTCCGTGCATTGTCTCCCCCTACCCCCTTCCCGATGGAGCACACAGCTGAGCTGGCTTTAAATTGAGAGGTCAGGTAGTCGAGCTGACCTGCTGACCTCCTGGAATGGATCTAGGCTGTGAGCCTCACCTGATAATCCTACAGTAGTCCCTTTCCTCTCGGTCGCATCCCGGCTCGAAGAGCAAACAAGAGACGTGCCGTCTGCCCTTGAACAAAAGCTTACACGGACTGAAAGTGGCCGCTCCGCAATTACAGACTGGATCTTCCTTCGGCTCCCACAAAGCCGGGCCCTGTGATAATGGGGAAGCATCGCATCAGGCTGGGGAGCATGAGGAAGGGGAGATTTCCTCGGATACGATTAGAGATCATCTGACGATCACTCAGATGTTTAGATAAGTCGGTGGGCGGGTGTTAAAGGGCCCCGAAACAGCCCGCCGTTCTTAGTTTGCGGTCCATCTCGTTCCAGAGAGACCGCTAAGAAAGCTCAAAGCTAAAGCTACGTGGTTTAAGGCAACTCAATGCAAAAGCTGAATGAGGAAAAACCCGGATAGGACCCCGAAACGTCAGATCACACACACTGTCACACTAATCTGTCTCTCAGGCCTGGACGGCCCGGCGTCAATTGCAATGATTAAATGAAGCTGTGACGACGAGGACGCGTGTGTGAACGAGTAGATGATGGGGAATAAAAAAAAAAATTTAACCAATCCGTCCTCATTCCCTTCAATGGGGACAGGGGTGGGAAACCAATCCCAATAAGGATCTTTTAGCCACGCCCGACCGGGATCACAGCTTTGATACCAAGCCCAGCACTGCGCTAGCCACAGAGCAAATCAGGATGCATCCTCCGCAAACGGGTCACATCCAAGGTGACCCGCAACAAAACCCACTAACGCAAAGACACGTTGCAAACGTCAAAAACGCTCATGAAAGAGTTTTGCGGAAAAACAGCATCTGTGGACACATCGTATTCTGCAGTGAACAGCCCATTAACAGCGCGGCATTCCCTGAATGAAATCATTCCTGTTTTCATTTGAGTCGCCACTAATTACACCGCAAGCAACAAACCCTTATGACCTCACATCCTCGCTCCAACCCCACCCCCTTCCCAAAAGACATGTGCACACACACACACACACACACACACACACACACACACACACACACACACACACACACACACACACACACACACACACACACACACACACACACACACACACACACACACACACACACACACGAGACTACGCGCCCACACATGCCCCCTACAAACACTAAGTGGATGTATGCACGACGCAGCTCCCACAAGTATTTACAAGCACACACATGCACTTTATTGTGTCACACATGGCTGCCGTTCCCGCGTCAAATATCAACGGGATGCGTCTTAATCCTCCCCGGCCACGCGGACCCACTGAGTGATGCGCCATTCGCTAAGGGGAGGCGCGGGGACCTTATCGGCGCCATTATGTGGTCACATGACCACAACAATAGACGGTTCACTTAAAAAAAAAAAAAAGAACATTCCGCGGTCTTCGCCACACGATTCTAGGGAACAGGAACCCGTTATAGGCTCCTCCCCTCAGCGTAAAAAAAAAAGACACTGATCTTAAAGTTCTCTACACAAAACACGCAACAACGTGCCAACCGTTGGAGTTATCAGCCATGTTGGGTTCACTACGAATCACAACACGGATCGTCAGCCACGATGAGTGTGCCAAGCAGCCGTAACGTTCATCATCTTTGTTTAGTCACATAAACAAAAGCTAAAAAAAAAAGGTTGCCGAGAGGTCTTCTGTATATCTTGAATTATCGTTCAGTCAATTTAATCCAGTTGTTGACTGACAGATCACCAGCCGTAGATGCCGCTAGCCCTGGCTGACAAGGAAAGACCAAACCAAAACGACCCGTCTCTGTGTCGGTCTTCTTCAATCGCCGAGGAAGACTGTCTGCCGCCGGCCTTCCATCATGTAGCGCATTTCACAGCTTAGCCAGAGTGGATCGTCCGAGCAAACGGCCGGCTCCCTCTCTCAGCTGGCCACCACCCAGGACGGACCCAGGTGGACCCCACCTGCCCACCTGCAGAGAAACACACCTGCCCGATCTCTGAAGGCCGCGGGACAAGTGAATAGACGGCCCTTTCTCTGACAAATTTGATGCAAAAACTTTCAAATAAACAACAGAAAAAAAAAAAACACAACTGACAACTTCCAGAGGTGGTTCGCAAGAAAAGTCACAGCCCCCAGCGTCCCCCCCGCCTGGCTATCTGCTTGGTTCTGCGCTGGAGAAACACAATGGTAGTCCCTCAATGATTCCTGCACGCAAAAGGGGCGGCCAGGCACCTGTTTCATTAGCACCACGCATCTTTCTCCCCCCTCCCAGCACCCCCGCTCCTTCCTCCCGCAAGCCTCGTTATTTAAATTTCCCTGCTGTCAGCCCACATTAGCCGAACGCCACAGTTTGCCTGTCAGCTGGCTTAATTGCTGGAGGTGCCTTCTTTTATTAGGTAACCCCCCCTCCCTCCAAACACCCCCTCAGCTCGTTTGTTCCTTCCACAGAGACGCACCTCCACTGCAGCTTGTGTAAACCTGAGATCCCTTCAGCCTCTTCTCCTTTGTTTTCCTCCTGCCTTTTCCTCCTCCCCGGCTAATCGGGGCCCCGAGCGAAGCAGACGAGCTCCTGATCGATAGCCACACTCTCACCGCCGGAACAGTGGCGATAAAGAGCTAAAAGCATGGTAAGAGCGGGAAGGGGGGGGGGTCCGGCCTTGGTACTAGCTCCAATGACGAGGAGAAGGCCTCAGCTCACTTATTCAAAAAAGGACTCTTCCCCACAACGGTCTGCGTCTTCTACCTAACCTCACATTCAAGGACTGGACATGAGTCTTCAGCGTACCGCGGGGACGATCTTTTTAAGTTAGCGTCGCGCTGGTTCCTTTGCACGAAACACGGCGATGTTTTGTTCAGACCGATGAGCTTTATAAAAATAACCACTTAGGACTTCTTAAGCGCGATTGCAATCAGCGGAACTAAAAAGCTAAAGTTAGTTAGACGATGCCACTGGTGCGTGAGCATAAACAACAAGGCCGTGGCAGGTGAACTAGTCAGCTGGATGATGTCACGTCGTCCCATTAGCCACGTAAATGCTTTGAAATAGAATAGAAAACCAATAAAAACACCACTTTGAGAGCCGTTTGCCATTGCCTTGAACCTTTATTCAGTCGAGTTGCAGCATTCGGTCGTGCACTAGCAAGCTATAAGCGTAGTGTTTGTAAACCAGCCACAAAACATCCTGTTCAGTATGTGAAAATGCTCCTAAATTGCGACACAAATAACATTGTAAACCCTAATATTATTTAGGTTGAGGCTTAAAAAAAAAAAATGCTTTCTGCCTGTTGTGAATTTTTTGTATATTTGTTAAGTATGTTTGTTTTTTATTTCATTGTTCAAATGAATAAACTTTTCATAAATTGTCTTTGTTTCCTTCTCAAAGCAACTTTAAAATGTGGCCGTCCGCCTCACGTGCTCCTAGAACATGTGGGTCACAGCCGGGCAGACAGACGCAGTGATGACAGCTCTCTGCCAGCCTCGCATTGCAGAGATTAAACAGTTCGCCGGGTCGAGTGGCCCTTCGCTCCGAGGTGCAAACAAGAGCTGCTAATGGTCGGAGACTCGCCGAGGACAAGGGGAGGGGAGAGGGGGGGGGGGGACGAGACCCCGTTCGGGCGAAGCAGGACCTCGGCGGTCCGGCCGAAAAGGTCCGCGGGACGCCTGCACATACATTAAGATGTGGTTTGGAGCGCTCGCAGGAACACGGCGAGGAGCGGCTGGATGACAGGGATCGGGTTTACAGAGCAGACCACAGGCCCGCAGGCCGCCTCCTGCACGCCGGTGTGTGTGTGATGTTTGTGTGTGCGTGCGGTGTGTTTGGATGGCAGAGACTTGCATGTCCTTTTTGTCACGCTAAAGGGAAGTACTGAAATAATACAATGCTGGATGCACTTTTTAAAAAGAGGGGCGGGTTTGGGTTCTTTACCTGGGAAAGTGACTTTGTGGGAGTTAATCAAAGTGGAACACGCACAAATGAAGTTGTACTTCACACTGGGCTTAATCTGGTTCCAATGGCCGTGACGCGACAGTCGGGGGCGGGGTGCAGGGCGGCGTGGCTGAGGAATGCAGATGAGGGTTAGGCAAATGAGCAGGTCTTAATTGACACTTCACGCAGCTCGAGGACCAGTGTTTATGCATTTCAGCCCGCTCAAAAGCTCTCCACCCAACTCCACTAAAACAAATTAGAGCCGCTGCCGCGCGAGTTTCCCTCCGAACCCCACGGAGATCCGTCTCAAAGCACAGAACGCAAGCCAGGTCCTTTTTTTGGTTTGTACGACCGAATCACGAGCCAACACTAGGGGGAGGGGGGGTCGAAGTTATCCTCTCCTTCAACCGAGATGAGCCTCTGGTTTTCAGGGGGGGGGGGGGGCACAATCATCATCTGTATGATTGGAAATACTTTTTTGAAAACAAACCAGTGGTACTTGAGAAGGGCAGACCACTGAGTGAAGGTGTCAACAAGCCACGCTGACCCCCCCCCCCCCCCCTCCTCCTCCCTGCCTACTAGGAAGGGGACAAACAAACACACACTTCTTCACCTGGGTCAACTCCACAATAGTGTGGGAATAGAAGGAGGCTCCATGTTCCTAAACTGGTGGTGGCCACCAAGGACATGAGATCACACACACACACACACACACACACACACACACAAGACAAAGTTGGCCGGTGGACTAAACCACTGACAGCAGACTAGCTGACCTTCACGTTCATATAAAAAGGCCAATACGCGCATGTGTTGTGTACAACAGCCTATATTCTATTCTATTATCACCCCCCCATCCACCACCCACAAAGGAGTCCCCGGAAATACACAGAAACAATTTCGGCTTGCACTCACGGTTCAAGACAGTTAAAAAATAAAGTAATGAACATACGCGCGCGCGCGTAGGGGTCCCGGGTATAAGACAATAAGCGGTCCGGCGCGTGGAGGCGACTATCGTTACATAGTAGCGTAGCTTACTTACCGGTGGTCGGTTTTGAGGAAACATTGTAGCCGCCGACTTGTGTGTCCCCCGTGTGCGTTTTCTTCTTCCCTTTCTCCCCTCTGTACCAGTCTTCTTCTTCTTCTTCTTGTTATTATTGTTCTTCCGCTTTCTGCCTTTTCGGGGCGGTAAAAAAAAAAAACCGCTTCGTCGAGAAATACGCGCCGCCGGTGTCCTACCGTCGCTCTCAGGCAGGCATTTGGCCCGGTTTCAAAGGCAATGTGGCGAAGCTAGCCTCGGCTCGCTCATTCCTCGCCTTCCAAGGCTCCCTTTGTTCTGGGTTATATCTCCGACCGCACACCGCGCCGCCCTCGACGCGTCGCGGGCACCGGCGAGGGAGGAGGGGGGGGGGCGGACACGAGAGGAGAGGACACCCGGGTCCGACGCAGCTTTTTCTTCCTCAAGTCCTCAACTTCGCGCTTCCAGCAATTATGATATCGGGTTTTGGTTTTCCCCCCCTCTCCGATACGTCTTCGCCGTCGGTAGCATGCAGGGCAGATGGGGGGGGTGGGGGTGGTTGGGGGGGGGGGGGCGGTGATGTGGTTTGCCTGTGGGCTCGGAGACGGACACACCGCCGGGCACATTCAATGTAGCCGCAGCCTCTTTTGTCTCGCTCGCCGCCGCCGGCCTGCACTCTTTTCACACAACACTCCCAGTCCCTCTCCCCTCTCTCTCCCCCTCCCCCTTTTTTGATCCTCAATGGGACATAACATATGAGTAGTTTTCTTTAAGGAGGGGGGAGGAGACCTAAAGACAGCCCCCCCCCCCTTCCCCCCACATCATTTGTTTTATCAAAATTAATAACCACGTGATGGTTTGGTGATGTTCTTTTGTTTGTTTAAAATAATAATAATTGATTCCAAATCCCCCAAATAATATAATATTGGGAGTCCAGTCACGCCAAGCACTGCCATAACGGTGTTCTTCACATAGCCTGCTCATATTTACATCAAACCCTGCGTGTTTTTTTATTATTAGTGTAGCCTGTTGATTAGAAAACACATACTAGGACGCATGAATGTTTTATATTATGAAATAATTAAATGTTTTCTTTAGAAAGACGGGCTTCAGAGGAATTGTTTAGTGATTGAATGAAACCTCCACGTGGGGCTCGGCCTCGGCGCCGTAAACACTGGTGAAATGAGCCAATGAGAACTGAGAACACCCACGTGGGGGCGTGCTGACCGTTTGCTGATTGGAGGACGCAGGTAGCTCAATGCCCCACGCGTCAATCAAGCAGGCTACGACTGCGCTGTGAGGTTAACCCTTTCCCTGGCGCAGGGAGTGATTGAGAGCGCGAGGAGTTTGTGTGGTGTATCAAGATTCAGTGGTTTTCTCTTTTTTCCCCCCTCCCCACGAAACCATCAACGCGTAGAAAAATCTTACATTTCCCCCAATTCGCCCTCGTTGGTGTGGAAATAAATAGACTCTGCTCCAACTTCTGCATCATCCTGCTCATTTCGAGATGTCAAAAAATTAATCATGCACAATGGGGGGAGGGGGGCTGACCAGACACGAGAGGACCAACTACAACTAAAACAAAATGTTGCAGAACCCGCAGAAACACAACAGTGATGATGCTGCAACGCTCGCATGGGCACATGTTGAATATGCGCATTGTTGTTACCTGGAAAGGGAGAATTATTCGGGAGAAGAAGGAAGGAATGGTGGAAAAAATTGGTATTCTAGTGGCACGACCCCTTTGGCGGGGCTCATAATTAGAGAGAGAGATATTGAAAATCCAATTTCTGACAGTGGAAATCACAACCTGCCAGAGGTGGAGTTGGAAAATATAGATGTGTGTGTGTGTGTGTGTGTGTTTTTGTGATACATGTGTGTGTGTGTGAGAGAAAGAGACAGAGGAAACGCAGAGGGGGAGGGAGCGAGGGAGGGAGGAGGAGGAGGAGGAGAATAAAGGATGAAGGACAGCAGGGGGGGAGGAGGAGGGGGGTGCTGAGAAAGACGAGCCAGTAGGAGGGTTAGAGATTGAACGAGAATGAGAGTGCACACACGGGTGATGAAAAAAGTGTGTGCGCGTGTGTGTGCGTGTGTGTGCGTGTGTGTGTGTGTGTGCGTGTGTGTGTGTGTGAGTGGGTGTGCGCTTTGTGCGGGTAGGCCTATGTGTTGAGCAGACAAGTGAGGGAATTAAAAAAAAGAAAAAGAGAAGGATAAGGGGAGCGAGTGGGAGGTGAGGGGAGGAGAAAAAGAGGGGAATAGAGAGGGAGAGAAAGAAAGATTTTATTGCCATTTTTTCCCATGAATTTTAATGCACAGCGCTGGTCTCCCTCCCGGACGCTGGGATCACATTTATTAGAAAAAAAAGAAGAAGAAGAAAAAAAAAAAAAAGAAGTCATAAGGAATGCAGTGCTTTGCAGTCTGCTGCTGCACGAGGAGATGTTTCATGTTGGTGTGTGTGTGTGTGTGTTGGCGGGAGTGCTTGCTGGGATGGGCTGATGGTTGAGGGTGAGGGCGAGGATGGGGAAGGGGGTGCACAGGACGTATGAGGCGTTACGTTGTGCTTGTGGGGCATAATAATATAGATGATAGAAAATGATAAGTGAAGGACGCATAATATTGATATTGGCAGGTCAGAAGAAGGAGTGTGCTTAGGGTGTGTGTGTGTGCTTGTGTTGGCTGAGCTCCATTGATTAAATAAACCAGGTCGCCTCCAGGGGCCTACGGGACATCAAAGTGGCCCCCACAATGGGACGCGACACAATGGTCGTAGCGCTGCAGGAGCGTTTGATTTTTAGCTCAGCGGTGTGAGGTTGTAAAAGGTACGTCCCGTCAAACACACGCTCACCCACACACACACACTCACCTGTCCTCAAAAGAGGCAAATACAGCGCTAAGGGGCCCCAGGGAGCAGGGGAGCCTCCTTTTATCATCACAGCTTAAGAGGAGGAAAAAGTAACGGCAGCGGAGGCCGAACCAGCGCCTGTTTAGTCGGGGGAATTATTACCGAGCAGCAGAGCATCAGGTGGGAGTGGTGTTCTGAACGAGGTGATGAATGCAAGTTCACTTCCCAGGAACAAACCTCAGAGGACGGCATCATTCCGCTGCGGTTGCCAACAGCGATATCAGTGTCAAACTGTGGGCGGCGGTATTAGCTCGTAACGACGCCGCGGACGAGGTCCGTCGGACAGATATCCGGTGGAGAAGATGGAACCATTGCGTCCTCCCGAATGGCGGCAGGCTGAGATCAATAGGCTTCACTTGTCTGTAAACGAGGGCGGGCGAAGGGTTGTAAAGTAAAAGCACATCAGTAGACGTTGAGGCACGGAAACGCTCTGGAAACCATCAGAAAAATCCCCAGCACAATGCATCGGTTTTGCATTTATTCGTCCCCTGGTTGTTGTTCGATCGAGTGTTTTGGGGATGGAAGGACAAGCCTAGATGACCGTGCAGCTACTTGCACCACAATTTGATTCATACGAATTCATCAAATCCAATGAAGGGTAAACGTCCCGTTCAAAGAGCCAGCTTTTCCCTCCAGACATACAAGCACACCGGTGGGAGACCATCGCCAGTCACAGGAGGAAAAACGCTTTCTCGCCGCTCCAACACACGCTGTCCTCCTTCTCCTCGCATTACAAAAAGGCCCCCGTTCTCCATCCTGCGTCCCTGGCGCCGTGGGCCGTGGACGTGGCCCCATGTGACACGTTCGCTCACGTTTTTTCTGGAAAAAAGTTTTGGAAGATTAAACAAAATGAAGTGACTTCTCTTAAAGCAGCCCTGAAAATACCTTTAATAAAAATCCTGTGATTCAAATAAACAATCTCACGCCACAGAAGTCAAGTTAGGGTTAACCCCCTCCACTCAACAGCAGACAGCGCTTTTGGACGGGGGGGGGGGTCTGATAATGGAGGAAGGGGCTTTCGGTCGGGGTCATAAACTTTGGGTTTTGTGTGGCGTCCCCATTCCCCACCACCTCCTGATCCCTTCAGGGGCCCCGGGACGGAGTCGAGAGAGCGACTCCTGCGTGGGCTTGAGTGACAGGAGGACAAGGCCACAATGTTGTCACCCCCCCCCCCCCCCCCCCCAGCCCCTTTACTCCCACTCGTATTCCTACCTTGGCCCCCCCACCCCTTCCCAGTCCCTCATCAGACAAGCTGGGTGTCAGCGCAGAGACGGCACTGTGATTTATTGGTCGCTAGTCCTCTGGGACCCCCACGCCCCCTCCCCACCCCCCCACACACACCCCTACGACCCCTACCTCCCCCCTCGCACTTACACTACCCCCCTCCCCTCTAACACACACACACACACACACACCCCTCCCCTTCTGTCCTCTCCTGCTGTACGGCCCCTGGGGAAAAAGAAGGGGTAATGACCCACATCAGCAGCAGCAACGCACACACACACACACACACACACACACACACACACACACACACACACACACACACACACACAGAGGGCCTCATAATAAATAAATACCCTCTGTGGCACACATATGCACACATAAAACAGACGCTGACGCATTTATTTCCACAGGCATGTGTGTGTGTGTGTGTGTGTGTGTGTGTGTGTGTGTGTGTGTGCGCTTGTGATGTTGTTGCTAAAAAAAAGTCTCCTCAACCATCGAGATTAATACTCAACTACAGAGATCTTCTTCTGTGGTTTTTGCTGCATATTTCGTATTCTATTTTATTTAGACAGGGCATCATTGTGTTCACTGCAACCCCGTGGTGACCTCGGGAAGAGGGAATGTACACATCTCCGTTTCACCGGCATGGTTGTCTTCGAGATACAAGACAAAGGGCCGACTTGTGCGTTTTTTCGACAGTGAAATAGAAAACGTGAAGGCATCAGCTCGCACAATTTGGCGACGAGGTACAAAATTGTGCCGCTCACCGATTGTAACGATGAAGCGGGAGGGATTTTAGAAAACAGTTTCCCTGCGGTGTCTTATCGCCAACGGATGACGCCACGTGTGTCGTTGGGCCGACTAGACGAGGTCAGGGCGATGACTCACCCGCTCACTTTCTGCGAGGGAGAAAAGAGCATCTTTTCAGAGGGTGATTTTGAATTGAGCCGGTCGATCCGCACTGGGGAGGGAGATTGAGGAGGTTAAATCTGAGCATTGACTTGCAAATGCTACTGAGAGCGCGCCGTCACTCATCCCACACGGGCGACTGATGCTCTCCTGCGAAAAAGATGCAGTTTCTGCCACAGATTTCCTCTTCACATGAGTGCTGGCAGGCTGGAGGCAGCAGGTCACGTGATAATTTGTGTGTTAAAATAGGAGGGAGAAAACATAGATGGATGCAAAAGGAGGAAAAGATTCAGTTGATATAGTGTCTGCTCCGAAATGAGATAAGATATAAAGAAACAAATTCCACCAAATTTAAAATGCGATCTACCATAAAAAAACAACAAAAGAAAAAAATGTCTTAATAAAAATCAGGCATTCAACAAAAAGAGGGTACTCAGATTTATGGTTGATAAAAAGACACTAGCCCTAAAATGAATATGTAGAGCTAATTATGACGTTAAATCATGAGACTAATTTTGATGGGTAGGTTTACACAACGTGTAATGACATTACGTGTTTGCTGTAT